ATCTCAAGCTTGAATGAGCAGAGTTGTGGGTAATTCAGCCTCCACGCCATGTTATAATCATCAGACTTACTGCTATGGCGATCTGGAGGACCAAGGCGGTGTCGAGGTCAAGGAGCTGAGGTTTGTTCCTTGCCTTAGATTTCGGCGGTCGCTTCAGCCTCTTGGAAACAGGTGTCGAAGTGGTGGCGCCCGCAGAGGTAGGCTTGCTCTCAATGAACTGCCATCGTCGCTTGCTCAGTGCGCCATTGGTCGCGCCATCTCCGGGATCTGCGGAAGACTTTCGCGGCGCCATTGTCGCAAAGATTTGAGAATACAACTGCTCGCGTTGAAGAATGGACTCAGAGCCTGGCGAATATCCCTTGGTGGGATCTAGCCAGTCGCGTGGTCTGTGCGCAGGTGAATGCAAACAGACGCGACAGCCAATGGAACGACAGGAGAAGGCCAAGCCCGGAGGCGGCAGCCTTGCGCGCCGTAGCCCCTCTGTCTATAAGAGCCTGCCCACTGTCTTCCAACTGCCCTCCTCCTCGCCCTCCTCCTCGCCCTCCACCTCACACCGTTTTCGGCTGTGGACTTGGAGAAGTCGAGAAGAGCTCAACCCGAGCTCAATGATATCGGAGAGTCCGACAAGGTAACGTCATCTTCACGAGAGCCCCTCGTTCACATTATCTGGAGCCGCAGGCGGGCTCCAGCCGTCCTCGCTAACAAGTCTTCCTCCACTCTTTTCACACAGCTTGTCCAATACTTCCTGATACCTCGGCTCACAAGCGTTAAGGACTGGGGTGGAGACGTTGACGGACGCTTACGACCCTGGTCTCACGAGGTGTCGTTGCGCTGACGAGCATTATGTGTCGGCACCTCAACGCTCAAACGCGGTCTGTGGTTTTTGCAGTGCTACCTACGATCGCCGGAACGGCGACATCCATGCACCTTTTCCACACTCCGCCAAAGGGAAGTGCGACTTCGCGTCTACCCTTTGCCCGTTTGTGGTCTCGCCGGGAGGTGGTGAGCAACGATATCCTTCGCGATTGCTCATCTCAAACGGCAGGAAGCAGGCGGAGCTTGTCTCCAGCAATGGACTCCGGTCCAGCTTCTGAGTGACAGGTACTTACGGGAAACCGGCTCTTAGAATGGATGTCGAAGATGCGGGAACGTGAGCCCGGTTACCACAACGAAGGTCTCGAGACCTAAGGTAGAGGCTTATTGGGGCCTTTACTGACGATCGAACGGCGGAACCAACACCCACCTTTTTTTCGTTGACATTGCTGCTTTATGCAGTCTGTTGAAGAAGATACAGTGAGGTATTATGAAAAAGACAAAGTAAAACCGAGTGACGCGCTTTTCGCTACGAATGCATGCTGTCGTAGCATATCATCGAAGTGTGAGAATTGAGATGATGTCGGCAGCTCTTTCTCTAGCTGGGCCACTACGTCACCTACTAACCACATTCGGTATAATGTCGCGCGTCTCCCCAGCCCGGCACTGGAGGATACCATGAGCATCAAGCACCTGGTACGCGTACCCTATCCTTAAGTCTCTCCTCTCTCACAAGCTCACGATGTCTGAGAACGGTACCGGTAATCAGTACGTACGCAATCGAAAACCACATACTCCGGAACAGGGCCCGCCAGTACCACCAAAAACTCAGAGTACCGGAAACACCATTCAGTCCACCAAACGCGCCGCAGCACCCAAACCCTTGGACTTGCATGGGCACTCGAAACCACTCCCATCAGTACGTTCCTTGCCATTAGTCGCTTCAGTCACGAAAGAACAACAAACCAAACCGCTCCCGGCACCACCAAAGAGCGCCACATTGCAATTGACCTTACTCTGGGTCGCAGCTTTCTGTGTATGGTTTCTCCTAATCGTAGTATTATTGCCTGTAATCACAGAGAAAGACGCAATGCCCGGTTTCAACAAATGGCTTCGTACATTACTCTGACTGAAGATGCCTCTATACCCCCTCGAAGAGGTTCTACAACTTCGACTCCGCCTTCGTAGCATCCACCAAACTCTTCCTCCCACCAAACCCAAACAAATACGCAGCAACCTTGCGCATCTGAATCTCCTCACTCCCCTCAGTAATCCTATACCGGCGATGGTGTCTCCAGATATGCTCGAACGGATAATGCCTCGAGTACCCATTCCCGCCATGGACCTGGATCGCGCGGTCCGCCGCCTGCGTACACAGCCTGTTCGCGTAGTAATTACACATGGACACCTTATCGCCAATCTTCTTCTCAATCTCATTGTGCGGCATTGAATCCATCTCCAGCGCCGTCTTCCGGATCAGCTGTCGCAGCATCTCGCATTGCGTGGCAAGTTCGACGAGCGGGAACTGGATGCCTTGGTTGTGGGAGAGGGGGGTTCCGAAAGGCGCGCGTTCGTTGGCGTATTCGACGGATTGCTGGACGCAGTATACGGCGGCGCCGAGCGAGGAGGCGGCTTGGCGGATGCGGTTCTCGTGGACGAAGGCTTGGGCGACGCCGAGGCCGTTGTGGATGGGGCCTAGCGCGGCGGTCTCGGGGACCCAGACGTCTTTGATTGAGACGGTGGCGTGGTCGGTGGGCATGTTCAGTGTCCTGGGCGTTGTTAACAGACAATATGGAGCGCTATGCGGCCAACGACGTACCACTCATACGACTCTGCCTTGAGACCCGGCGTCTCTACCGGTACGACGAAGCACGAGATACCCTTGATTTCGCCATCCTTTCCAGACGTCCTCGCAAAGACCGAGCAGTGTGTAGCGTGGTGCATACCAGTCTGCCACCGCTTGTATCCATTCAACACCCATCCCTTCACACCATCTCTCGTCTCCGGCCGCCCCTTTGTCGCCATGTGTGTCGCATCCGAGCCATGACCGGGCTCCGTCAAGCCGAACGTCATCCTGAACTTGCCCTGCAGCCGCAGCGGTATAAACTCCTTCTTCTGCTGCTCGTTGCCAAAGTTCATGAGCATGATGACGTCGGGGAAGTTGCCGACCATCGAGTGCTCTGTCTGCAAGTCGTTGAACAGGCCCAGTCCCTTCGCGGCGAGATGCTCTCGGATGACGGCCATCCAGAGGTTGCTCCCTCGTCCATCGGCACTGTTCTGACCGCCGTATTGCTTTGGCAGCGATAGTCTGTAGAAGCCGGCTTCATCGGCCAGTCGCCTTGACTCTGCCAATAGCTCCTCCCATTCCTTACGTGGCAGGCCGCCATTGTCCCAATCGGTTCGAGCGTGCTCGCGGCGGTGATCGAAGAAGCGGTTGTTGTCGTCTTTGTGTTGGAGCGGAGTAATCTTCTCGTCGATGAACTTGTCAAGATCGGCGAGGTATTGCTTCAGGTCATCGGGGATCGAGAAGTTCATCGTGTGCGACAGCGACATCGTGGGGTTCTTCAGAGAGGTGTGGTTCGTGGAGGATGGGATTGATGGCACCGACGCTCTATCAGCGTCCTGGATATTTGTTGAGTGGGGGCTTCAAGCTATAAGCTCGCGGCATAAGGCTAAGCTTCGGGACGCGCATCTTGATGACTCGCTTGCTCTCAGTCGTGGAGTTGCTGTTCCAGGAGCGCTGCTTTGCGGGGAAAGAAGCACAGGCCAGGCGGAGTTGACCTCGGCCTTCGCGGGCGCGCCTCAAGCCTGCACTCAATACGCCAGTAACGCGCGCACGACACCCCTAGTCACCAACACCATGCCCAGTGGCCAGAGTCGCGTTGCCAGTATGATAGATCTGTAAAGCTGAATTCCTGACAGTTCGTGTAGTCTGACATGCCATAGCTAAGTCCCAGAGTCGAAGACATTGGTTCATAATGAGCTACATCCAGTAGCCATCTGTACCTACTCGCAAACAATGTCATTTGTACTGTATGTATCGCGAACAGAATTGCATCGAATGTCTTCGTGGTACATGGTATTGCTACGGTCTCACCCACGGTTCAGCACTGGTATTTCCCACTCATCGCACTTTCGCTACCAACGTATAGGCTTCCACAATAACCCGTACGCGTATAAATCGGCTCGTACTAGATTTACTTCTTCTTTTATCAACTGCACTGAAATCTAGCCTGCCATGAATTCTCGCCTTCCCGCTATGTCCGAACCACTGGATCCAGTTGTGACCCCCCAGTCACCAGTCGAGTCATCTACTGGAAATGTCTGTCTGGAACATGACGCCAAAGACACTGACACTGCGCAAAAATCTACCTCTCTTCGAGACCATCAAGGCACTATCGAGCTCAGGGCAAGCAGCATTGTGCGAGAGTGCGAGCTCTATATGAACGGCTTCCCGGGTAGAGACAGTATATCTGGCAATCAAACATTTCATCCGGCTATCAGGGGATTTATCAGTGGAACGGTTGAGCCAACAGAAGAGAACCTTGACGCCATTCACGATACGATCAGCTATCGCAACAACTTAGCAAGGTTAGCAATGCACCTACTGGACGCCACCAACATTCCTCAGCCCAAAGGCTTGGACATATTCGACTTCGATAAAGACAAGTTCGAGAAGCACATGTCAGCGACGGCTCAGGTTAGGTGCATCGCTGCCTGGCAGGCTCTCCATACTGGATTGCTACCCCGCCCTGTTGAAGATGAGCAGCAACCACAAGGCCTCCCGTGGCACAAGCCAAACTGGTATATTGCTGCGGCCATTACGCTTGATAAGTCTATCAAGACTAACGCTGATATTGAAGATGCTGTGGAACGTATGAGGGTTTGTAAGTACTTATCGTTATGCTCCTCTAGAATGTTCGCTAACTTCACCGCGTAGACTACAAAGACCATTGCCAGGACTTCAAGACACTGCTTCACTACGATGGTGAGCTGACACCCAAAGAAGAACCTCAAGACTGAGATCCCTGCATTACAATCGCATCGTCTTTCTCAGCACCAGCGCAAGGAGATAAGAATGCGAAAATACAGCGACAAGATATCGTATACCCCCAGGGTCATATGTGGACTCAAACAACGTCAACTTCACTCATCTCGCATACCCCTACTACCCCGCGCATCAACACTCAAACCTTCCGAAAGCCCTTATACCACCGCCTCTTCACGCCATTCTGCTCCGACGACAGCTCATCCTCTGCTCGAATTTGTTCGTAATCATCTGAAGAAACCGTCGCAAAAGACTCCGCCGATGAGTTCTCCTGCGACGTTCCCACGCCGGCACCATCCCTACCTGTACCTTCATTCGTCGTATTGAGTACCTTCAAAAGCTCCGCTTCTGCCTCAGCTTGCGTTCTTCCACCTAGTTCCTCCGGCTTTGGCTTCAGTGCAGCACCATCCTTCAACCCCCCTTTTCCGTTTCCAATCTTCCCTACGTTTAACCCCATCGGCACAGCGCTTTGCCGCTCGAACGCTTTCTTCTTCGGCGACGGAGGCGGCAGATCCTGAAACGGCTTCAGTCCCGCTATCGCCTTTGTCAACTTCTCAATCTCGTCTTCTTGAGCGTTATTCGCGCTGCTATACACACTACTACCCGCACCATCCTCCTCCTCCTTCTCCTTCGCCCGAACGTCCGGATCATCCATCACACAAACGCCCTCCTGCTCATCCAGTCCCGGCACTTTCATACCCGGAACAAACTCAGACGCATGCCGCTTCTCTTCCCGCGACGTGACTCTAGGAATACACCGGCTTTCCGAGTCGCTTATCCGCTTGACCAACTCGCGGGGAATATGTTGCTCGCTGTCATCAATACCCTTATCTTCTAGCACATCACCCTCGAGTTTCGCAAGCGCTTTCGCTTGTTCCTCTGCGCGGAGGGCGAGGACGCGGTCGAGTGTGGGTGTGCGGTCGACACTGTTTCGCTTGTTAGATTTGGTGAGCGGAGACGGTGCTTCGACGATCGCGGAAAGAGGGGTCGTGTTTTGTTGGGCTGGGGCTTCTGCACTCTTCCCAAACGAAGCTGTCCTAGACTTCGCCAGCTTCGGCGATATTGCCGAGTTCTCGAAGTTGAATCTAGGCAGAATTGGCGGAAGAGGCGCGCTCTTCCTCTTTACTATTGTTGTCTTTGGCTCATGTTCAGGTAGCGATGGTAATGGCTGGTCTGCCTTGACCTTCCCCCGCTTCTCTGTTGCTAGTTTGATCGCATCGGTGGTGTCCTGACGCAGCTTCTGATTCACATCCTTTGTGCGGAGGAAGTTGTATTTATCTGGACTTTTTAGATCGGTGTGGTTTCGCGGGTCTGCGGCGTCGAAGTACGGCGTGAAATCTCTCCTGTTGCCCTTGTTGTCTTTGGTGATAGCGGTCCTAGATGTGTTCTTCGGTGGCGTAGATGTAGATGTAGGATGAGTTACTTGATCTTGTGCATACGGTCCACCGCCAACAATCTCGGCATATGGATTATGCCACTGATGTTGACCATAAGATTGAAGACCCGCAACCTGGTCCTGCTGTTGCTGTTGCTGGCTATGCGTAGTTCTAGTCTCACCACCATCAAAGCCCTTCGCGTATGATGCATCTAGATTTCGCGGTGTTGCATTGGAGATATCGTGGATCGCGCCACTTGCATCGTCCCAGTATGGCATTGTCTGCGTATCATATTGGAAAGGATCGCTATTCCGCTGCTGCGGATTCCAAGTCGACTCAGTATGCTGACTTTGCGGTTGCAAGATCTGCGGGGCGGGGTTTGGATCACTTGATGCTTGGACGTGGCCTCGTCGGTGTGGGTATCGGTTCTTTGGTCCGCGAGGCGGGTTCCAGGATGGGTCTTGCTGTGTCATTTTTGGAGGTTGGCAAGGATATCTAGAGTGCGCGGGTTGAGGGGAGCCAAGTGCAGTGGTTTCACAATGTTAAGGGTTAATTGGTCTTTTGACTTGCTTGCTTGCGTGAGGTAATTCGTAGAGTGTGGAGTACGAAAGAGGAACGAGGTTCCCCGGCGGCGAGATAGAGGGATGGGCACGCCATATGTGAGTATTGTGTGAGTGAATGAATGGGGTTGTTGTGCGCTGTGCTGGCCGCCTGTTGCTCTGGTGATTTGGTCACTGATGCAAGATGGTGTTCGAGAATGTGCGCTGGTTTTGAAGCCCGAAGATATAACGTCATAGAGTTGGAAGTCAGCGCAGTAGAAGGTTGACAGCATAGCACGTAGCTACCCTTTTGGTGTTCACTTCAGCAATCATTATGTCCTACCAGTCACTCGAGTTCATAACAAAGTCTTTTGATAAACTTCCGGTTCTTCTCAAGAAAGCTCAACCTCATATTGCTATCGTCAATTTTGTACCTTGCCATTGAAGGCCGTCGGAATGTCTCGCTCGACCTCTTCAAAGTCTTCAGTCAATTCGTCCTCATACTGTACCATTTCAAAGCTCTCACCTAAACTCCCTTCTTCGTTATGCGACATCTTTGGCCTTGTGCGTGATGAATACGACAATTTCGACTGGTCGGTGGGCACAGTCTGCGTCTCGTTGGCGTTCATAGCTTGTTCATCACACTGTGAGTAAGTAAATACCTGGCCAAATTTATCGATACCTTGAAGGGGCTTATGTGGCCTAGGGACCTGGCCACCGCCGTTGTTCCTTGACGTAAGCGCAGTATTGAGGCCGAAAGTGATGTCTTCCATGTCCCCGATCTTGGATTGGCGTCTTCCTGATGCATCACGTATGGGTGCGTCGTGTGTACCAAACCGAACTCCAGATTTCCGTGATCGGCGTGCTACATCTTCAGCAGTGGGCTGGGGATTTACTGGCACATTTGGCCGCAACTCTTGTGTGCCGTAGTATATCCTCGAGCGCAGGCTATGCCGATCTATTGGTGCTTGCACTACAGCGGGCGCTACAGCGCTTGGGTGGGGTATGGACGTTTCTAATTCGTAAATGGGAGGGAACATGGAGAGGCGAATGAGCTGCCTGTGGCGGGCGCGAGCCGTAGCAGAAAGCGAGTCGTGTCGACTGGGAGGTGAGTGATCTTGTGACATGTTGAGAAGTGAGCAAAGGTACTGTATTGCTGAGCAAGATGGAATGCGCGAATTTCTTGACTGAAGATGTAAGCTCTCAAATAGATGAGGTGGGGTGTTGCTGGCAGTCCTGCTCCAGCGATGTTTTGGCAAAGCTACGACACAGCCAACTCAGACAATGCGCTCGCGTAGCAATTCCATCGACATCGTCGTGCGTGACAATCGTCATCCATAGCGTCGCCATTCCAGTGAATCTGTATTGATGCAAATCCCACCGGCGTTGAATCTTTGCCATGATATTGCCATGCGCTGCTGTGATGTCGCGGTTTGTGAATGTTTCCTCCAACGTAGCGCGTCTGGGGGACAAATGTGTGTCACTCAGCGCGATGGCGACCAAAACATGCAGCATACCTCGGTGATTCTCGAGCAAAGGCAAGGGGCGAATATGATTACTATACAGGAAGAAAGCTCATCCCTCGTTCACCTCAAATGCGTGGAGAGGTGGAGACGTGTAAATTGCAGGAGCGGGTGTTGTGGCGCGCGCCACACCCAGGCAACTGAGCGGGTCAACTTCGTCCGCGCCATCGTAGTACTTGTTTGCTACGCAGCGCGACCCTTGGTGAGCCATTCTCAACATAATCGCGGAATTTACCTTACACATTGTGCTCATGTGTATTTACCGGTTGCGTGGTAATGAACAGCCCGCGAAAATCACGTGGTGCGCTAGCTACGCGAAAACGGCTGGTCCTATCTGATGTTTCATCCTTCCCACATCTCCGCTGTTTCCACCAACGACTCATCGTTCGCGACCCAACGCATCCTTGCGCCATACCACAACGTCCTGCGAACGCTTGATCTGGCACTGACAGGCGCGCTGATGGAAACAATGTCCGGCTTGGCGCACGCGTGGCAGGACGATTGAAACAAAGCCGCTGCCAGACGGGCACTAGCATCATGACGCCCTTGACATTGGTTCATGCCATCACGCATTTGGCAACATGACCGTTACGGGAAGGATCGTAACTAATATGGATACGAAGCAGGTGTATGCGGTTGCAGAGCGGTAGGTATATTAGGATTTGGGCTGCTCGTGATGTGAACTGTTGTTATCCGCTACACTCATTCTCTCGATTACCTTTCGGATATCCTCTCATTTTCTCTCGTTGAATACCTTGAGCGGAATCTTCGGCTGGTCTGAGTGTCGTTCTTTACCTTCTCGCCCATACTACATTTGCCTCTTTCAAACCCCTTCAACAAGACTACAACATGCGTTTCGAGATTATCGCACTCCTGGCAGCAGCTGCCACCTCGTCCGCTCAATCGGTCGTCGGTACAGCTTATGGCTACGGTGCTGGCGCGACTGGTGGAGGAAAGGCTGCTGCTGTCACCCCAACGTCAAACGAGGAGCTGGAGAAGTACCTGTCCGACGACACCGAGCGCGTCATTCTTCTCACTCAGCAATTCGACTTCACTGGGAAGACCACCTCCGGTGCTGGTTGCGACAAGACCACTTGCTCAGCTAAGAGCGGCGGCGGACAGTACTACTTGGGCGACCTCTCCTGCGGTGGCTCGGATATGACGCCCGTCAGCTCCATCACCTACGACGCAGGCGCCGAAACAGCTATGAAGGTCGGATCGAACAAGTCCATTCTTGGTGTTGGCGGAAAGGGTGTGATCAAGGGCAGAGGTCTCTCCATCGCCAAGGATGCCAGCAATGTCATCATCCAGGGCGTTGCATTCACCACCATCAACCCTGGCGTCGTATGGGGTGGCGATGCTCTCGACATGCAGGGAGGAAACACCAAGATCTGGGTAGACCACTGCAAGTTCTCCCTCGTCGGCCGCATGTTCGTCGTCAGCCACTACGACGGCTCCGAGGCTACCCTTTCCAATAACGAATTCGATGGTGTCACTACCACTTCTGCTACCTGCAACGACAACCACTACTGGACGATGATGATGATTGGAAAGACTGAGAAGTTTACTCTCGACAAGAACTACTTCCACGACGTTTCTGGTCGCGCTCCCAAGCTTGGTCAGGATGGTGTCAACAGCTACTTCCACGCCGTCAACAACTACTTCGAGAACATGAAGGGCCATGCATTCGATGCTTATGACGGCGTCAGTGCGCTTGTTGAGGGAAACGCTTTTGTCGCCGTTGACCAGCCCAACACCGAGCACGCTGCCGGTGTTACCACTTTTGTTAGTAAGGGTGGCGATGCCTGCTCATCCGTCTTCGGCCGCGCGTGTCTCGAGAACAGTGTCGACTCTGCCAGCGGCGAGCTCTCCCCAGGCTCATCCTCCGGCTTCATTGCTAAGCTCGGAAAGATCGACGTCCCCGAGCCCATGGAAGCCAGCAAGGTCGCCGCATACGTCAAGGCCAATGCCGGTCCCGCTAACCTCGGTGCTTCGTCTTCATCTGCCCCCGCTGCGGAAAAGGTCGTCGATGCTGATGCCCCAGCCAAGGTTACCGAGCCTACCGTTGCCACTAGCAGCGCTACCAAGCCCAAGCCCGCGGCTACGACCGCCGCGGCTGCTGCGCCAGCACCTGCTGCTCCTACTGGTTCTGGGTCCTCTGCCGGTGCTGCCAAACTCTACGCTCAGTGCGGTGGTCAGGGCTTCACTGGTCCTACTGAGTGCGAGGCTCCTGCTACATGTGTGAAGAGCAATGACTGGTACTCTCAGTGCATCAACAGCTCTTCCAAGTTCCGTCGCGCGCTTGGACGCTACTCTTAAGCGTTGAACGCATCGATAATATGGAAGACGAATGGGCAATAATACTGCGGATGGGAGACGATGTCAAGGTCTGAAAGAGACGATTCTTGTGTAGATACTTCTATTTCAATTCATTTGGCGTACACGCCGTATATTCTCCAATTTGGCAAAGTGCCATAAATGCTGTATATTCTCGTCGCTGTGTCCTCCCCAGCTCTGCGCAGTTCGTTGGCGATCATCATCGAATGCGACACACCACAAGTCATCTCTGCCTTTCAAACGCCACGCTATGCAATGTGTACAAGGAAAACCTGCTCCCGAACATGCCAATACGCCTCCAATTATGCCCCGCTACTCAATAAGTAAGCTAATAACCTCGTCACTCTTGGCTTCGGCATCGTAGAAGCTCAGCGGTTCTTAACACCGCATTGTCGTGGATGTGACTACTATCGTCCTGCGACAGCCCCTCTGTCCGCCATTAGGGCTTCTTGACACTTTCATCTGGCTCGACGCTGCTTTGCGCGTCGCTGCTCGATGCTTTCGTATCTTCCGCCACGATTCGCAACACCGCGAACTTGCGTACCATGCTTTCTGGACTAGCCGGTAGCTGTGGCGATACGGTCGGTTCTGCTATTGGCTGGTGTTCCCGGAGGCGCCTTGCAGCTGGCTTAAAGGACTTCTTCTTCGACTGCTTTCCACATCCCTCCCGGTTATGGTCGTTCTTATCGCTCATCCGTTTGATCCAGTTGGTGTTAAAGACTGGGCGGTGCTGTTCATTCACCTCCGGATCGCGTACGCGCGCTTCAAGATTCGGATACTCTTTCAGCATAGCCAGCATATCTTCATCAATTCCTGGTACCTCTTGACCTTCGCTATCGGCCTCAAACTCGCGGAGCCGTTGGCCAACAGCCTTGATCGCTGCGTAGGTGTACCGGCTGTTCTTGCCGAGGCAGTTCCAGAGCGTCTCCAACTCTACAGCAAAGATTGGTCGCGCCAGATGGCGCTCGGCTATGTAATGATCTACCCTCAATGCATCTTTGTGGAGATCGAAGAGCTCCATCGTGCGAGCCAACGAGCATGCGACAAACGTGTTCTTGGGGACGCGGATCTGCTTCATCGAGCTCATCGTCTGGTAGTTGCAAGCTCGCAGCATCCAAGCTATGAGGGCTTTCATGGCGGCCTTGCTAGCTACTCCCCGAGGTAAATCCATCTCTTGACATACTGGTGCGCCCTTCCAATTCACGTCGTCCTCGCGGTGCGTTGTGCGGATAAACTTGTTGACCACCTTACGACCCAGAAACAGCACAAGCATCTTCTTTGGCACTTGATAAGCGAGCGTGACGCCTGTATCTTGTTCTACAATGTCCAATACCGGTCCGTTGAGCGCGTTCATTTTCCGCTCAGGCTGGAGATAAGGCAGCAGACTTTGCAGGGTGTGAAGGTGGCGTATGTCCTCAGGATTCGGATATGGGCGCTCCATACCTGAATACGCCGCCCAGCCTACCCACCCAAGTGTACTGAACGCCTCGACTGGAGAGGTATTATACCCTGACAGTTCATCTCCGTCGCCGGGCCGGTAGCTTTGGTTGGCCATTTGCCCATCTATACTGCCGCTAAATGATTTTAATAGCGGGTAAAGAGTAGGATTGCAACTCTGCTGTGCTTCTGAGCTGCCATGTGCGGGGTAGCCTTTGTCACGACGTGCAAGATAGGCTCCAACGACGTCTCCATTTCGCTCATACGCTTCCGCATCTGGGTGACCGGGCGTAAAGATCGCAGCTTTGGGATGCAACTTCGATGCAGTGACGGTACCGTCAGAGTCATAATGATAGTACGTCGTCATTTTGGGTGATGCTGCTCCCTTCTGGTTTTGCGATGTGGGTGATGGCTGACTGTCGAAACAGAGGGTAGAGGTGACGGAGTCGAAAGAACTTCTGCGGCTGGAAGCAAATTCAAATATTGAGTTTGCCACCGAACCAGTCGAACTGTCTTGATTGTGGGTGTGCTGGATGCGAGAGGTGGGTTGTGCGCCCGCTATGTAGTCTATAGCGAGAGAACACATAGCAGCGTGAAGCGACAGGGCTACTGTGAATTATTAAAGACTATTGACAATGCGACGGCGGTGTTGCGAAACAGTGTTGTTGATGGATGAAGGTGGTGTGAAAGGGTGAAGGATAGTTGATGCTGCAGGTTGCTTGCGCCAAGCCCGCGCTTATACCTGATTCGGCTACACTTACCGGAACTTAGGTGAAACACCGCGCCAAGACACTATCACGTGTAGTGTCCAGAGCTGCGGACGACGAATTGAGACAAGTTCATCAAATGCACGCATGCTATGAGACATCCATGGGTCACACGGCGCAAAGGAAATGTCGTTAATGTGAGAGAAACTTCCCCCATCGATCTAATCAAATAATTGATATGCATGGACACTTCAGCATGGAGGAATGACCGCTGTGGATGCAAATGTTCAGTACATAGCAGAACCTCATGGATAAGTTTCGCAATGATCATCGCGACAGATCTATATAAGAAGAAAATGATGTAATTGGCGCCAGACTGTACAATCATGAGAAGCACGACACACGCCTCCATGCGTCACGTTTCCGATTACCTTTCTCCGGCGATACATCATCCCCGATGAATGTCACATACTTGCCGGCCAAGTAACCTTTGTCACAATCCCCAAGCCCATATTGCTGGCCTGTCGATGAAAACAACCCGCTCTTCTGCCAGTCCGCCCGTCCGCGACGCCGCGCAGCAAGCAACGATCGGCGCGCTGGTCCTCCGAGCCACTGACCAGATGACTCACGGGAGAAGGCCGCACCAGACCCCCTGTTACCTCCAGCTAGAGCCGAGAGTGCGGCGGATTGATGTTTCTCGGGATTCGGTGTTAATGAATCATGCTCGTATAAGCGCAGCGCTGGTGGGGTGTTCGGAAGTGACTTCGCTCGTGGCCTAGGCGTGATCGGTGTAGAACGGACGCGGGTAGCTTCTGGGCTACACATATTTCCTTGCAGAATGCATTCTTCCGGGCTAGTTTCGCGACCTAATCCTCCTTTTGTCCCTTCGGAATTAGACGATGCTAATGATGTCTTCGATATGGGCATGATGCGCATTTGTTGCGGTGGGACGTCGTCCGCACTAACCATGCGGAGGTGTCGACGAGAAGGCATCGCATGTCGAGCGGTAGGTTCATCATCATCATCGTCTTCCAACCGACATCCACCGATGTGATCTTTTGCAGTAGCAGCATCATGTTCGGCAAGAACCTGCTGCATATATGTCCTAGGCTCGTTCAGGGTGGTGTCACGCCAGTTGGACTGCTCCGGCCTTGCCTGAGCTGCGATTCGGCGACGGCGCTCTTCAACTTCTTTCGATGTCTCAAAGCGGTACGCAGCGGTATGACTGCTTGATTCATCTCGGCTAGAGCTCGGTTCGCTGCCTGAGGGCAGAGTGGTGACGTGTCTTGGAAGTGACACAGTTGATGATTCTTCGCAGGTTTTCGCACTTTCCCGGCGAGTACACTGAATGTTGGTTTTCGAATCCGATTCGTTGAGGGTCCGCACGTCCACCGGATTAGAGTCCGACTTGTGCTCATCGTTGCTATACACGGACGATGAATCTGAACCGACGGAAAAGACCGAGCTCTGCCTAGATGAATTCATCGCTGTCGATGCGAGAGATCGCGATTTCGAACAACAAGCCAGTTGCAGATGACGCCTCGCAGCTGCGGCCGATCAGACGACGTCAAGTGGCCGATGGCGTAGAATTGCTTCCGTTTGCTTTGAGGTGGATCGGAAACGTGGCAGCAAACGGCGTTGATTGTCGCACCGTTGTTTGTCGAGTGCCGGGAAAGGATAATGATACGTTCAAGCGTGGCGAATATGTATCGCGAGGTCTGAGAGTATTACCCAGGCTACCTCCGTGCGCTGATCTTTGTCAATGAAACAAGAGTACTTCTACTCCGACTCACGCGGCATCGCAGTGAATATTTCTCAAATTTTTGTCCAGCCCACGGTATACCCAAGCAAGTGCAGGCTATCTATACAAACCTTCACCTCGTCGCACATGACCAAAGCAACCGACAAGTCTGCATGATACATCTCAGTGACTTGGTCTGCTGGTCTTCACATCCGGGATACACGATTTGAATCGCTACCATTTCGAATCACTCCGGCAGCCGGAAAGAATGTCATCGAAGCACCCGAATACCATGCCAGCCACTTCATTAACAGCCCTGGAAGGCCAGAAGGCCAATGATTCCAGCGTCGGGGATCTGAGCGAGCGACTCACAGACGTCAAGATCGGCGTCAGCGAGAACACTGCCATGGAGAACCTGACAAAGGATCTGGCTTCCAAATGGGAGCCGTACGGTGCTCATTCTTCTCAACCAAAAGGTGATGGTCGGGCACAAGGCACCTCGTGACCACCAGATGCGGCAGCGAAGTCCAACCTTCTAGCAAAGACGACCAAAGCAGCTGGCGCGTTTTGATGGAGTGTTATGTCGATTTTAGCTGAATACGGTCTTTCATGCTTGTATGGATGACGCGACCCACGACCTGGTACAAGTGGTCGAACGCGCATGGCAGCGAGCTTTAGGGCGTGGAGAGGATGCCGTCGCGGAAGCTAGGGTGATTCAAAAGGTTCGACGAAAACATATGCAGTAGGACCAACGACGCAATGCTCAACAATACGACACCTGTTCTGATGCTGGCAGCGAAGTCGTACTATGGTGGGTGGTCATGACCTCGGGATGCAGCTGGCAGAGAAGGGGAGCGACGCTAGCAACACGCTAAATTACTTGATTACGTCACGCGTGCCGCAGCTCGCCGTCTCGAGCTACGCGACCCCAGAGCCCTTCACTCCACCTCCACAACTAAGATCCGCTATTCTCATGCCATGCATCACGTTCAGACCCATCAAAGACTCACCCACACGCCATGACGGCATGCTCGGCACACAATGCAAGCCTTTCGAGAACGCGTCAGACGCGCCTGCCACTGCCAGTGTCTAGCACAACGCATCTTGCGGTTCTAGTCGCGTTATGCAGATGGACATGCAACTGCGAAAAGAAGCGATCTTATGCAGGAGTCTGGCACGCTTTATCATGAGGCAATGGCGTGCTCAGAAGTACATTGCCCAGCTCTACTAACGTGTGCGCAACAAAGCCCACATTGGCATACGAGGGACGATGAATTTTGACGACATTCCTGCTGAACAGTTCGTTACACGAGAGTCCGCATACGATCTCCTCAAAACCTCTCTCCGTCAAGGCCCCGGCTATGCTACATGGATACAATTCATTCCACCCCACTTCGGGGCAAGGCGCGCATCATCTCCGGGAGATCACTTGCCAAACCAACCCTGCAATAATCCCTTCGATTCACTGACGTCGCCTCCGACCTTTTCCTTCTCTTCTGGCTCCGGTGTCGAATGGCGAGATACACGTTCCCAGTCATTTTCGTCGTCAGGATGCCGTGGGAAGTGGACGAAGCCGGTAGAACTCACCTCAACGGGTGCCATCCCATCGATACTGTGATAAAATCCTTCACTCTTCTCGCTCGGCACCAACTTTCCGGATGATGAAGCCTTCCGATGAGACCTCGGCGTTTTCGGCTTGTGGTTGTGGGGAGACTTGTTCGAAGCTTTAGTGGGCCGCCGGGCCTGCTCATCAAGCATATCCCGTTGCAGCTTGATTTCGAAGTCATGCACGCGTTTATCGATACGTTCACGCGCGATCTCCTTGGCCAGCTCGGAGTCTGGGGGCAGGAAAGCTTCCTTGGCAAGCTAGAATTCGTTAGCGACGAAGCTTCCTCACCTTTGATACAAAGCCTACAATGTCTCGCCGAAAAGCCGCCACTCTGGATTTGAACTCTGCAGATTTGCAAACGTCGCTTAACGCTTTCTTCTCCTTTGCAAGAGCTTTGGTGGCATGTCTGGACATGGCTGCGTCAACCATCTGGACGGCGTCTGCAACCATACGCTCGGCTTGTCCGACGTCTTCCTTTGTTATTGATGGCCGAGACGGATCCCTGGGCTGACGGCTCGTATGTCTACGTTCTTCGTTCATCTTGGAGGTCGACGCGATTGCTATACTGGAAGCGGTGGGCGAGTTGAAGTACAAGTAGGTCTTGGTTGATCTATACAATCACGGTCTTGCTGGTGTGCTGGTGTGGATCTTTATATTCAATACCTCACATGGAAGATCACAGTGAAGAAGCGACTAGGCCATTCGCGACTCGGAAGCCGACACACAACCATTGGGTTCATCAAGTCTGCATCACTACCCGGGCCGGCAACGCAAGCATTCGCATTCACTTCATTATCCGCAACACGGTTCACTCCAAGAAGGAACAACAGGGAACTGGATTACCAGGAAAGCGAACTGTCCTGAATCTACTCTGCTGCACACGATAAGGTTCTATTACCTCACATCGGCCTACTTGCGACCGAAAGTATGTCGGAACCAACGGCGAACCTTGCCCCATTTCTTGGTCTTTTCATCATCTTTGCTCATTTCTCGCGCCCAAATCGGCTTTACGTTGTTGTTGACCACATTCTCTTCTCTCGGTCTTGTTATGGACTCCGCTCGATGTATCGTGCGCTGGGTGTTCATGTGCTGCGAAGGTGTTGGTAGATGAAGTCGAGCAGTTTGAGAGGTCGTGCTACTCACTTGCAATGGCGATGGGCTGTATAGCATCAGAGATTTGGGAGTTGGCGGTCGTGAAGCCGCTGCTTTGGAGACAAGTTGAACGTTGGTGGCCTCTTTGGCGTCGCGATTTACTGTCATCGAGACAGCCTGCGGTACGACTTGGTTATCCTCCGCGTCACCCCATACCGGCGCAGACTCCAGGTTGTCGCTGAACCTCCACCAGTCATTTTTGCGGCGCGGTGTTGTCGAATCGTCACTGAAACGCCAACCAAGGGCTTGCGGAACGCCGCTGCTTCGGTGCCGCAGCATGCGAGGCCGGCCAGCTCTATCGCATGACTGCTCGCCGTCTATAACGACGACTCTATCTCTACTTCGCTTCGTATCGTCGCCAGATTCCGAATCTTCATCACCAGAAGACTCCCCGAGAAGGGTGTACAGCTGTCGATCATCAAGTGCTGGGAGGCTGGATCGCATCATCGTCAACCATTCAATCCGCAGTTCGTCATACGCACAGCACAGTCTTCGAAGCTTCGTGCTGGAGTCACCAAACGAATAGCGCTGATGTTCGCGGCCGAACACAATGCCCTCATTCCGGAGAACTCTCCTTAGAGTACGTAGGTCAGACCATAGTTGTCTGTTTGCACCTCGATGGTCAGGAGGCTCATAGTTGTCGGTGAAGAAACTGTTCCACTGTTCTTCGTACATAGGACCGAGGCGTATCATAGTCTGGAACTCCGTGGACGCGTATGGGTTACCGTAAGTAAGAAGCTCTCCATTGTCGGAGAATGTAGCACCCATCTGTTGTAACCGACCACGCAGATGCAGAATCTCAGCGAGTTCATCCAGTATCGTTTTACGCTGGGTTGCATGGCACGTCTCGTTTGTTGGCTCGCAGATCTCTTGGGCGTCGTATACACTCAATAGATGCTCCATTCCCGTCTCCATGGTCTTTACCGGACTGCCCGTAAGTAGAGCCAAGGCATCTTCGTGGGCTTGCATTTCGGGTCGTAAGGTTGTAAATGGTGGTCGTTGGCTCCTGAAAGGTTGCATTGGAAAGATTGCTACAGTTGTGGTGCGAGGTGGTTTGGTGTGCAAGAATCGTTTGCAACAAAGGAGAGTTGATTGGGGCTAAAGGAAAACTCAATCGCGCAACCCTTCAGCATGAGGTTGATTCACCAGACGACACCGCCGCGGAATGACCGCCGAGATGGTGTGCTTGCAGGAGGATTTCACTCCCCACTTGCCAATACCCCTGCGCAAGGCGCACAGACATCTGAGCACGTGGGACTCCCACGCTTATACGATATAACAACAGCTACTCGTCCTTCTGGCGCGGCTCACTCCGTCGCTGGACGCGCCTATCTATCAGGACTACCGCGCCCTTACGCTTCTCAAGAGGTCTATTCCATCGACCTCGACTTCACATATCGTGAGTCGGGTCTTGCTATTTGACATTATCCCAATTTAGGATCTCTTGTTCACCTGAAGACACCGCGCCAGCGTCGAGAATGAACAATGAGCCGGCCATCCGCTCGCCTTCAAGCACTTCCATCAACACTAAGCTTATGACTATGTCTCAGCCCGACACACCGTTTGCCAGCACCAAGAACCATATGCATGGGAAAGCTAGCCCCGTGTTACACTCACCACTTCGGCGACATCGGGCCCGGTCACTGTCGAGCGGTTTTCCCCCATGTGGTCTCGTTGCATCGCGAGTCAATACCATCAACATGGTTAGCCCACTGACTGATGTAGTCGTCTCCGCCAACAGTGACCGCGACACACTGCCATCTCAAGCAAAGCCTTCTTCACCGACGTCAACGCCTCCCCGTCGCCCCGGTGCACGCACGGCTCATAGCTCCCCGCTGAAGCGCAAATGCAAGATCGACGACTTCGCTCTTCCGCCGCCCCCGCCGACCGTATCCGCAAACGAAGTTGCTCGGGACGACATTCTAGCTGCATGGGACCTCGTAAAATCCAGTAACAAAGGCATTGTTCAGAGCGAGGCCTCGAAGGATGAACCCTTCACAGTCTTAGATGACCCAACAGCGGGTAGTACACCATTCCACCGTGGCCATCGACGAAACAAGACAAGCTTATCACAGGTGGTCTCACGCAGTAACCCGCTAAAGGGAGCTACATACGGTACGGAATCGATTCGCGCGACAGCAGGACAGTATAGCCATTGGCCGACAGATCCACACCATAATTCCTCTCCAGACGCCTATTCAGGTTTGGATTTGTTCAGCTGCGATACTTCTCCTGAGGTGCGTGCTACAAAACGAAAGTCGCTACCAGCCTACAGCAGTACAACCTCCACCATGGAGTCAGGCAGGTCGAAAGAGTTCCATGATTGCACCCTATCACCGAGGACGACAGCGGATGAAACAAAAGAAGATGAGCGCACACCGTCCCATCGATCCTACACCCCTAGCTACGCCGAATCTTCTCCGGGAGCTGGAGCGACGTCCCCAGCGGCTGAGCCATATCTGCCGCTTCGTAGGGTCGAGAAGTTCAATGACACCGAGAGCTTCAACTTCCATGAAAGCCCCTTCTCACAATTTGAATACGCGCTCTCGCTCTCGGATATGGAAACCGACGATGTTCGCGACCTCTACCCATTGGGAGCCTTTACCCAAGCAAGCGCTCAAGAGGGCTGCGCCATCCATGACTGGGCGCCCCCATGGCCATCGGAGCAGCCTGTGAAGAAACTCCTCCGCTTTGCTTCCCGACCAGACTTTGCACCCTCCATGCACTACGAGTCAGAATCGGATGACTATTCTTCTCTGCAGAATCTCCTCGATTTGGACGAGCATGGTCCTGAGCCACGGAAGAGTCCGCTCAGTGCTGTCAATGTTCACCCTCAGATACAGGATGAGGGGCTTACGACCCTCGCACCAGTTTCCTATTACCCGGATGTTGGATCAGAGATGACGATCCTCCTTCCACGGACGTACAATGCGACTCCCGACGACGATGAAATGACTCTTCCTTCACGCACATACAATGCGACTGGTAGCGATGAACTTATGTGTCTTCTCCCGCTGACGTACGATGCGAACTCTGTGAACGCACTGGAGAAAGCGTCGACAATTAAGCGGAAGCCGATACTGCGAAAGGCCAAAGACGGGTCGCTTCGATCTTCCGCACCGTCCCCCAGCTCTCCAAACTGGGTGGTGCATGATGGATACGACACCGAGGAGGATCTCTGGACGAAACCCTGCAGCGGCGTTCTGATGAATACGGAAGCCTCGGACCTTCACCACCGCGATAGCTTGGATGGCCGCGACGCTGACATAGAGTCAATCCATATCGAGAAGAGGCACAAACGCGGTGGCTCGAAGAGCTTACACGATCAAGTCGCGAAGCCAGTCGGTCAATTCATTGAGTCGCGCTCAAATGCAAATATTATCAAGGAACCCGCACCAATCGGCTCAATCACCCGTCGTCCACTCCCGACCATCAGTCATGTTCTAAATCCTCCACTCCCAACCAATACCGGTGTCCTGAACCTCGACTTCCAGTTTCCGGCTCGAAGTCCGCAGCAGCAGCGCGGTGTCAGCATGCCGGTCTTTCCCCCGCCTTCTGCTGCGCGTGCTCAAGAAAAGAAGCATGCGCGGCGCAAATCGTTCCGTCAATTGCTAGGTGCTACTGGCAACAAGGAAGGTGGTACCGAGACGACAACGAGTGGAGACAAGCCGAAGAAGTCGCTGGGTCGACGCATCAGTCAGATGGGGAGGAGACTTTCCTCGATATGGTCCAAGTAGGAGGAGCCGCTCGTTCAGTCCAGCAGAGGGACGCGCTGTCCAACAAGCACGCCACGACGTGCTGTTAGTGAAATCGTTGCGGATGTTCTTCGGATGGATGCGATGCCAACTACGGTCAGGAGCGTACGTAGCAGATTTATTGTCTATGGGAAGTAGTCAAAGAAGGTAGAGTCGCATAAAAGCGGAGATTAATCATGATGTAGCATCTAAAACATGTGTAAGGAAAGACTACGAAGAGAAAAACAAGAACAATCATTGCAACAAGTGCGTCAACCAAAAGCTCCTAGCCCAGTCCACAACGAACCCAAACCCGAAAAGCCAGAACATCCTCCTACCCTACTGACAAATGATGACTCCGTTATCCAGATTCGTATTCCCAAACTCCGCATCAGCACCACCGGGCCTATCGTCACGTTAGCATTTCCCCAACATCCCGACTAATCCACCCTAAGAGCGAAGAGAGAAAAGGTGTGTGTGTCTCTATGTGTGTGTGTATGTGAAAAGAAGAATTCGACTTACACAATAGTAGCAACCCTCCTCGTACCCTGCGCATCACTAAAGATCCCACAGCTCCCACTCCCACTCCCCACAATCAGTGCGCGGTTCGCGCGAATGGGTGAGCCCAGATTACCGAAGTTGGCGCGGATGGAAATGCGCATGCCGTTTGCGGGGATGTTGGCCTGGACTGCGGTGTCGGTGGCGTCGTTGGAGAGCTGGACGCGGAGGGTGCGGGTTTGGCGGGCGGAGAGGGTGGTGGAGGTGGGGGCTGCGAGGGCGGAGACCGCGAGGAGAGGGGCGAGGAGGAGGGTGAGTTGCATTTTGGGGTGATGTTGGGTTGGTTGGAAGGCTTGGTAGGGAGGAGGTTCGAGTGGGTGTGATGTTGGAGATGTGGAAGATGTAGAAGGGCGTGTTGGTTATGCTGTGGGCGAGAAGATGAGAAGAACATGTTACGTCGACTTTATATCTTCTTCACATACCGCTACCGTACATCCGTACACGGTGAGTTCTCGTTCCGTTCTTTTCTTAGACTACACTGTCTGGCTGTCTCTGCTCAGCCTACCTGGGTGCTAACACTTCCGCTACCATTCTTACTCATCGTCCCAAGCTCTCCAAGCACCAACGACATCACCCGCATTAATTCGCGCAATGCGCAATTCTACGTGTTCGTAAGAAACATCTGCTGTGGAGACTTGGTTAATAACTTGGTACTACCCATCCGTGCAAAGCTGACAATAGATATGATGACAAGCATGTTGGTAAAGGAAAATTTGGAACTCGGATATTAATTTAGTCGCTGTCTGCGCTACATATTACGGGACGGAACGCGTTAGCTGTTATGCTGATGTCAGACCGCAAGTGGCTGATGTGGGGTACATGGGACTGGACGCGTGAACATGAGAAGCTGAATCTTGGACTGTTTCTGGAATCCAGATGGTGTTGACGGGCAAAGTGATGTGCTCAGCATGTGGTAGCTGTGCTGCTTTAGAACATGGCGCCATCCGGTAAGAGTGGGTTGCCAGGGCCTGCATAGCGATGCAGTGGTGGGGTAAATGCGGCCGTTGTGCGTGGCATGGCCAGGGTGACCAACAAAGGATGTGGTGCACTGTTTGCAGCTTCGGGCCGCGTGGCAGGCTTGGTGGCTGTATGTCAGGAATAGGTGCGAAATAGACTGCTTCCTTTGTCAGCGGTAGCGAAGAACGTCTATTTTTGCACTGGTAAATTGCTCTCGACAGCCAGTTTTGAAGCACCTCTTGTTCTTCCATGCACGCAAACAAAATCGAACGGATTGAAGCATAGTGTGAAATTATTGTTTTGTATTGATACATCGTGGGCAGATACTGGTTTGTCCACGTATACGGCCGTCGCAGTCTTAGCCAAGGTCGTCGCTGTAGTCATGCTCGCGTCCTGAAGTTATCCATCTACCTCCTGGGGAGAACGTCCTTCGCACCGTCCTTGACCCGTTGTGCGGCATCGGCGACGGCGTCCCTGGTGAGGTGGAAATGCTGACCGAGACGGTCCTGCGAGAGTGTTAGTATTGTGTCCAAGGCAGCGGATATAGCTAGTAGCTTACCTGCTCAGCGCCCATGCCGCTACCGGCCATCAGCTTCGCCCTCTGCTGACCATCGTATCCAAGGCCAAAGTACTTGGCGTTCTTCTCGCCGTTGGCAGCCACGCTTCCGGCAGCTTGTATCGCCTTGGCGGCATCGATGCTGTGCAGCGCAGGGCTGAAGTGTGCGTTGTATCGGTCTTGCTCGGCGCCATCGCCCTTGTACTTGGCCGCTGACTTCATGGCGTTGTAGCCACGGTCGCCGATGCTCATGTGGTCGCCGTAGCGGTCCTGCTCGGCGCCCTCGCCCTTGGCCAAAGCAGCTTGTTGCAGCTTGTTGAGGCCCTTGTCGACGCCGCGGCGGATGGCATCTGTGGAAGCGCCGAAGTGCTCGCCAAAGCGATCTTGCTCAGCGGCGGAGCCGTGCTTTGTGGTGACATCGACGTTGACGGGGTGAGTCGCGAGGGTGGACTTCTCGTCGGAGCTGAACCAACCCATTGTGATTGATATGAGGTTGTTTGTGGTGGGTGGAGAGGGGTTGTAGTTAAGTTGAGAGTGTGGGAATTGAGTTTGTAATTGCTGTGTGATGGTGTCAAGGGGACGAAAAGATGTCGTGTTATGTTGCTGGGTTGCGGAGAATGATGACGTAGGGGCTAGCGAGCGCGCTAGAATCCTTGTCTTGTGCCTGATCGTCATGTGAAGACGTCGCCTCGGCCCACTAATCATCATTGCAATGTCAAGTTTGCCGTTCCTTCATGCTCTTGTCTTGCTTTTGCCATGTCCGGCTCTCCGCGTTGTGCGTTTCATCCAGAGGCATTCCTGCTATGATCTTCCGACGGCAGAGCTGCGGCTTTGATACATGACCCATGGTGGATTAGGCATGCAATCCTTCACCTTATACTCTCGTAGCTTTACGGGATGTGCACCTACGTGAAGAGTCACAGACCGCGCCAAGGCAACGTTTCTGCAGATGTCAAGGTCGCGTACGAGAAAGACGCGGGCTTCGAGGGGTGGCTGCCCCACTCGGAGCTATGCAAAGCCTGATTGGCTGGTCGTTAGCGCGCACCACAGAGGTTCTTCCGTCATACTTCCCATCCACCTTACTTCCATCTACATGGCTCGCAACGTTCCTATGCAGTTCGCACGCGCTTTCGATGTTTTGCGTCCATTTCATTTCCCTTCTTGTTATCTCTGGTCGCTGCCTTACCCCACAATCTCATCACCTTTACCTGTGACCATTTCGGACGCAGCAGTCTTGTCAAACATCACTCGCTTTCTTCCGCGTGCTTTGCTATTCTCATTGTCATCGCCTTTACAAAGTTGTGTTCAATAATAAGTTGAGAGACATGACTGTAATCTTCGCTGATCTTCCGCATCCATTGAAAAGCCGGGTTCTACCAAACCCTTGCGCGCGGAATGCGCCTTTGCGAGCACGAGACCAATACCGCTTCCTGGACTTCTCATGCTTGGGACACGCGAAAGCAAATCGCCCTCTTGCAATCCTCTATCCATCATTCTCAATAAACGCTATGCAGCTTATTTAGACGTGTTGGATGCCCTTGCTATCACGTCCGCATGTGGCGGCAAAGAACCTACAGTACAGAAAGAGAAAATCATCAGTAGAGGTCAGACTCTAGGTACTACTACCCATTAAAGAGCTCTTAGTGCACAGTACCGCATTGCAGTACTAACAACCTATAGACATTTCCCTTGGCATCTCGCTTTGCAAACGCGCGCCCGTACCTAGCCTTGCGCATTTCAACTTTTCACTTCTCAAAAAAAAAACGGCAAAAAAAAACTTCCTATTCCTCCCCTCTGCAGGACCGAACCCTCACTCCTAACCAGCAAAAAGATACCATGGAACCTTGTATTCTATCCAGGTACGAAACTTGCTTCCTTGATGGCAGTTTATCACGACTAGCTTGCTTTTTTTTCTGATTGGCTTCTTGTTCGATTCTTTTATTTCTGGCCTTAAGCTTCCTCTGGCTTCGGCTATAACCGGCTGGAGTGCTGAATGTTTTTTCTGTGTGCTAGCCGCCACCCTTTTGTTGGCAGGTAAAGGTGGTTTCGATGGTGGATTTGGGGATTGGGTGGGTGATAACTGCGGGGTATGCGGTGGGGGATGTGGGAGCAGAGGTTTTGGGAGAAGGTGAGAGAGACGCGTTATTGCGGTCGCGTGGCGGCTGTTGTGAGGTGAGAGAGCGGAGGTGAGAGCGCGTTCAGAGACCACCCAGGCGATAGCGCGCCCGGATGAGAGCGCGAAGACGAAGAGGAGGTCATGCCACGAAAGCGCTGCAAAGTCAACATCGGCTTTCGTTCGCCATGCCCACGAGATGTGGCACTTATGACGATCGCGAGCTGACATTGCATCAAGAAAACGCAGCGCCAACAGACAACAAACGCGTCGCCAGCACACCGGGCCAGTATTTATGAACTATCTCGCGCTGAGAGACCGGTTTTTTATCGGATGAGCAGCAACAGGATGGACTTACAACGTGCCAGCGTCCCAACGCGCAACCAATACGACCGCGTACGCCAAATACAGGCCGTTGGCAATTTTCACAAGGCGATATGGCTCCTCAGGAACAAAACAACTGGCCAGCTTGCTGTGCGGAAGGAATTCAATGCCGGAGATGCTGCATCGGGTTTTGCTGCGCGCGAGATAAGCCATCTCATACGCCTATCGAACTGCGCTAATATCTGCACCTACCGCGAGCATGAGCTAAATCTGGCAACAGGAACTGGCGCCCTTGTCATGGATGTGTATGCGTACGGCGATCTATGGGCCTTGCTAGAAAAGCATATCAATCAGCGCAAACTGTTCCACGAAGGCTTCATCTGGCACGTTTTCAGGGCGTTAGCCCGGGCTCTGCGACACATGCAGCGAGGCGATCCTCCTGTTCTGAGCGACACATATGACTGGATACTACACCGAGACATCTATCCGCGCAACATCTTTCTCGGCCGTCCTGCTTCCCACGAACCCTCATGGCCGAAAGTCGTTCTCGGAGACTTTGGCTCCAGCATATCGAGCACCGACAACTGGCGAGCCATTGAGCTGCGACAGCAACAAGACTTCAGTCCGCTGCCTTTCGAACCATCGAATAACAAAAGGAGTGACGTATACCAGGTAGGATTGGTCATCGTCGCGCTGTGTAGACTGACCATCGAACCTAAGCACGAATCGCATTGGTTTCGGGGTAGCCCAGCCGGGGGAAATTATACTGCGGGACTGAACAATATCTTGAAGAGATGTCTTGAGAACTCACCTTTTGATCGCGTATCTGCGATGGAGCTACATCAGGTGCTAAATACTCGCTTCATTGGTGGTGGTAGTCTACATGGCTTGTTGCTTGGAGCGCCAATGTACCAATCGTAGGTGATAGAGCCTCCCACACACAGTTTGAACTGGGATGCTGGATTCGTATTGACATGTCGACCCAAATATTACGTTAGACATTATTTCCTCAAGATGCACAAGGTGTCCGCACCGATGTCACGAGAAAGCTCCGCGGGTGAGACAAGGAACTAGTGCAAATATGGTCTAGCGCGGACCCTGTCTGCCGCCAACCTTCCGGAAGTCGCGTCCTCCTTTTGTTCCATCGCGTCTTCATCATCGCAGCCATCATCATCCACACTGTCAGGCCGAAAGTATGGCCTTCTAAACGATTCCATCATCACTGTAGTACAGTCGGCGCGTCAATAGACTTCATTCGTCCTGTCGTCGCCTTCCTCTCTGCTCCTGCCTCCGACAGCCAGCCCGGCATTTTTACCATGGCGCGCTCACACACCCTTGCAAGCTTCGATGGATCTGGGAACCTCGTCTTCGCATCTCTCGCCACTTTGCAACCTACCGAAGTCTTGTATCTGCTAACATGAGGGTAGTCTCGTTGTTTGTGGGGTCGATGTTTGTCGTCTTCGTTATGATCACGCCTGCGGTCAGCTGCTTAGCATTTGGACAAATGACGAGAGGTTGGAAGTATATGAAGCTTGGAAGTGGCCGCATTTTCTGGCTTCTCATATCATCTGTCAAAAGCTCTTCTGCAATTCTCTGCCCATGGCTTCTACATTCTGCTCGTATTGTCACGGGCCAGCAGCACAAAGATGCGGCTGCAAACAACACTACTACTGCAACGGGGATCACCAAAGGGCTGATTGGAAAAATCACATGTATACCTGCCATGACATTCGGCTTGAAGCCTTTCTGCCGCAAGTCGCCAACGTTATTAAGTCAGCCTCTCTTGCACTCCTGGAAGCTACAAACATGATGCTGATCACGAAAATTGAACTGGAAAATCAGAAGATTGTCGCCTACCAGGGTCTTAACTTTAGTAACCACCCGTTCCCGAAGCTCACTGACGATGTGTTCCCTGATACAGCCACCAAACACGCGGTGCTGTGCTCAAATGCGCAATTCTTTCCCCTAGCATATATGCATCCGTTGCTCAAAAAGCTCATCAAGAGTCAGTGGCCCGACATATATCTGCGCGCGATTTAATGATAAGCTGACACTTGACCAGCCAAACATGTTGAGATCCACGAAGTCATGGTAAAGATCAAGACAGCATCACGGACCGTTCTTATACTCGCAGATGACGGTACAGAGTGCGAGAATTGGCCTGAGCACAATATTTCACTGTTACGAATTACCGCCAGTGGGAGCCGAAAGCAATGGTACATCAACCTATCCGGTGCTGAGCTCGGGCTCACGCAAGCATTCTTTACCGCTGCCGACTTCGAATCCAAGCACATGCAGGCGGTTTGTGCAGTCTACGAGTTCGGTAAATGTAGAGAATACATCTGGACCTGCTCAACTATGCCAGGCTGGTATGCGCACACAGAGCGCATCGGCCTTCAGGCCTCATCACGAATGGGAACAGCACTACTGACCTTCTTGCAGCAGCCTGGAAATGACTTGAGCAATCTTCGTAAGAGGAGCATCGCAGGCTCGACGAGCTGGACACAACCGTTGGTTGAGGCTTTGTCTCAGGCTGTTCATGGGTACATCTCCAACTACAACGTCGGTGGACTCATGTCTCAGATCATCAATGAGCCCGAGAGCCTAACGCGAGAAATGATGAGGAGGCATTTCGATTACGCTAGCATTCTTGGCGATGCTACGACGGTCGAGGAGAATGCGAACTGCCCTAAGGTGACTCTGGATCTGGCTAAGATTGAGGAACAACACAAGGGCCCTGGCGTGAGTATGGTGATAGAGGAGTTTAAGTCTCTTTAGTCAGGGATGCTCACGGTTCATGGCCACGATTGGCGAACAATTGATGCGAGTTAATATTCATCTCTCAATCAGGATTATACGACAGCTTTCGTCCTCCACATATCCAATCTCGAGACGCTTCGCTTGGGGGTTGATAGCTACGACATGGTTCGATCCTCTCGCGTCAACCTATGAAAACGCTGAACACTCTAGAGCCTACGTTGACGTCAGGTCAACCACTTTGCATCTTTTTATCTTGACGTAGTCTGCAGACGTGTTTCATCTAGTCGTCTAGGCTGCAAGCCAAAAGCGTCATAGCTCACCTCGTGCAATCGGAACAAGTATTGCCCGGCTTGACCTGAATACCCTTCTGCGCCCACAACCCCTTTCCGCTGTTTACGACAACAAAGCAATCGCCATGGCTCCCGAATTACAAGCAGCGTGCGCTGTATGTGGCGTGCTGGCTCACAGCAAATGCGGTGCCTGCAGTTCAGATATCTCATCGCGTCATTACTGCGGCAAAGCCTGCCAGGTAAGATCTCCCATGTACGAACTGCGTGTGAGACATACACTGACTTCGGATATCATCAATTTAGGTAAAGGATTGGCCGATTCACAAGAAAGCATGCAAAGACGCCCAGAACGTCAACCTCGAGAAGAAGCTTGCGCGCGTAGCCGAGGTCATTCAACAGGCCTACTATGACTTCCGCGAGAACACTTGGGTTCAACCTGTGATCAAGATTCACGATCGCAATGACGCTCTGGTCATATACGACGAGTCCATGAGCGAGAAGAAGAAGTTTTTCGTCGACTTTCCGCATCATCTTGTCACAAATGTTCGTTCTAAAAAGGCACTGCTTTGCGCATGGTCATGTAATGAGCCGACCGCTTGGTTACATGATACCATTGTTGGTCTGCTCGAAGGTAATCTATTTCATCAATCTAACTTGTTTTCTCGCGCTGACTCAAGTCTCACAGGACTGAACATCAAGGTCGAGGAGGTTCTCGTCACGCTAGGTACTGTCCCCCGAAAGATCATCTTCCACGATAAACTTGGTAAAACCGACAACTTGACCTGGCCCTTTTGCGATCACAAGATCATCCGCGTTACCGCGACAAAGACCAAGAAACAGTGGATCATGGACCTCACCGGCGCTCAGTTTGGGATATATCAAACCTTCTGGAGTTGGGAGGAATATGCAAACAAGTTTTCCACGAAGACGCACGACGTAGATCCTATCGGCGACAACAAAGCTATGTTCGAGAAGCTTGCCAAGAACCCCGGTAACCCAGGTCTGGAACACCGACTGATGAGGATGGTAGCAGACCATCTTGACGAAGTCGTGCGCGGATGGAAAGCTGAAAGCGGCTTGTCACTGGCGGCTCTCCTTGACCTCAACAAAGAGACCTATGAGCAGGCTAGTTCAAAGCTACTACAGACCATGGACCTCGCGATCCGCGCTCATGTTAAGACCCATGACTACAAGGCAGAGTTCCAGGCTGCGCAGGCTTACGAACGCGAGCATCAGGGTGAAGGCTACAGGGTCGACCTCTAAGTCGTGATCCCTTTGGGTTGCTGGTATGATCGCAGGACACATCAGCGACATTGAGTTGGGATACGGCCCGGGAGCATAGACAGAATAGAAAAGGCGAGCGCATATAGCTGTGGAAACGCGTTAATGGGCCACTTACTTGCACCAATCAAAACGGTCTTCCCAATAGACTCTACTTCCGCAATCCGATCAATCATGACGCATGAAGTACTGGGAGTATTTTGATGAATACATAGGCACATGGGTATCGTGAAAAGAGATTTCAAGTTCGATGTAGGCCTCAACCAGTATCAGAAATTTCGTAAAACAAGAGTGTATGCAATATATCGTCCGCTGGTGAAGCTCAGCCCAACCTTGCCTTGCGGCTCGACACTAATTTGGGGGTATGACTCCCGGTCTCATTAGCCTACTACATGAGGATACTGACCTTGCAAAAGCTGGGCGAGCTGTTATCGAGCCACCTCATAGACTCATTGATTGAGATCGTCTCGAAGCTCCGATCTAAACCGATAACAGAGTGTGGTGCGGGATGGGCGGCGACGACATCAAGTGCGAAACGTCTCCCTGAGCGGGCTTCGAGCTTACGTTGGCGCCGCGCTTTAGTAGCCGTAGTCTTGATTTGATAGGCTTTGTTGTTCACGATAGTGGAGAGCAGGTATGTGCTCATGTCCTCGCCATCAATGCTAGGGCTGCGCGCACCTATCGCGGCGCTGATCTCCTCGGTATCGAGATAGATGTCGTTGACTGTAGTTACCGCATAGATGCAAGATGTCACGACGTGTCGCCAGTTCGCCGCGACGAACTCGGATGGAAAGAGACAGCGGTCCAGTACCAGACGCCATAGCTTCAACTGTAGCCGAGCAAACTCTTTTGAGTGCTTCTGATACGCAGGATATGTCTTTTCGAATGTTTGCATGAAGTCAGCAATGGAGAACCTTGCGCTGGTATCAATGAGCAATTTGGACACTGCCGGAAGTACCTGCTTGATACCTTTCATCGATGCACCGAAGCACATCGATAGCTGGTTCAACATACCAGGCTGTTCGATACCGGCCTGTACGGCGCTCAGGTACAAGATGACGGTAGCCAGCTGTTCATACGTCGCATTCACCCACATATGCTGTTGATCAACGCAGGTAGTCAATCCATCCGTGATGCCGCGAATGGCGGTCTGAGAGAAACCCATATCCCTCGCCACATCAACAACATCCTCGATAAGACCTTTCAAACGTCGATTATCGTTAACCCGGTACGCAGCAATACCTTCGGGCGTGCTAGGCACGAAGAAGTGCTTCGAGGACGTTACCACTGCGATGTCGCACCCACGAGCGCGCATCATCACCGGCACGTGAGATTGACAGAAAGGCGGAAAGTTCGGCAAGATGAGCTCAGTCAGTCTTGAACTGCGATATCTGATCCGGCCAGATTGGACCATCTTTTGACGCTCGCACAGTGTACACGCGAAAGCTGTGAAGTTTGTGACGGGTGCCGTACAGCTTCGTCCGCATAATGATACCTGCTCAGTGTGAACGGTATGGCCACATGCTAGGCGATGCAAGTGTGATGCGCCACTACAGCAAGGCTCAGTGCGATCCTGAATGCTCATGCGAAGCGTCATCAAGTGAGGACGCCGATGATCTTTCTCTAGCGTTCTCTCGTTTTCTGCGACTGCGCGACGCAGTTCTTTACGAGACCCTACGTCCTCCATGGTGAAGAGCTAAAAGATACCTGAGGCAGATCTCGTTATCGGGGCAGGTGTGGAATGCGAATTTGGTCTGGAACTATTTATAACCGCGCTTCCTCTCGGTACCTGAACAGCGTCAATACAACGTAGTGAAGTTTGGCGCTAGGTCTCGTTGTGAACGCAGGTTATCTCGCGTGCCGATATTCCGTTACCAAACCGTAGCAGTATCACCTAACTTCAGCACGGATGCAATAAGAGATCTTCAAGGAACTTGGACGAAAAGGTCATGTGATGTTCGCTTTGATGTAAATGCTCTTAATACATTGTATACATTACTCGATATCTACAAAGTCATACAGTCTATGTCTTTTCCGTCTAGTAGTGGCCCTTCTTGGCCTTGATGCCCTTGAGGAAGCCAGCATAGGCAGGCTTCTTCATGTAGTTGTCGTCCCAGAGAAGGGCGGCACCCTCATTCTCAAAGACACCGGGGATCCAGGAGTACTTGTCGGAGATACCCCAGACAGTCATACCAATGCATCGCTTGACGTTCATGCACGACTTGGCAACACGCTCGAAAGCATCGGCCTGGACCTGGAGCTTCTCGGGAGTGGCGGGCGTGTTCATACGAAGGTCAATCTCGGTGTAGACGACGTCAACGCCAAGGTCGGCAGTCGCGCGGAGAGCAGCCTCGAGGGTAGCTTGGTCGGGAGCGGCACCGGGAGCAGTGGGAGTGGGCTCGCTGGCAAGATGGGCCTGGTAGCCAACACCGTCGATGCGAACGCCGTACGACTTGATGAGCTTGACGATACGCTGAGCACCCTGGGTCTTCTCCGCGTTGTACTCGAGGTTGTAGTCGTTGTAGAAGAGCTCAGCCTTGCCACGGTACTTGTTGGCGAAGCGGAAAGCGATGGGAAGGAAGGCATCGCCGATGGTGTCGTACCAAACGCTGGAGCGGTAGGTACCGTTCTCGTTCAACGCCTCGTTGACTACGTCCCAGCGTGTGCAAACGCTCTTGTAGCGGGTCATGACGGTCTTGATGTGGTCCTCCATGATGCCAATGAGGGTCTTGTTGTCGAAGCCGCCCTCAGATACCCAGGCAGGCAGCTGAGAGTGCCAGACCAAAGTGTGGCAGTGAACCTCAAGCTTGTTTGCCTTGGCGTATGCCGCGTAACGGTCGGCATCTGCGAAGGTGTAGTTGCCCTGGTTTGGGTGGACAGACTCAAACTTCATCGCGTTCTCGGGAGTGAAGGAGTTGAAGTCGGCCTTGATGATCTCGCCTTCGCGAGTCTCGTTGCGGAGGGTCAGGGCTGTACCGATGAATTCCCGTCCTGCCTTCTTCATGGCCTTGTAGAGACTGTCCTCCTTGTGCTTGCCATGGCCGTAGGTACTATCTCAATGTTAGCCAGCTACAATGGTGGCGAGGATGCTGGTGACTTACGGGCTGGCAACAGCGGAGCTGGCAATCGCCAGACTGGCGACAATGCTGGAGAAACGCATGGTGATTGAGACTTGGGGTGTTGACTGATTCGAGGTTGTCTGCCACGGATACCCTTAAAGACACGGCGAGCCTGTCATCCTATATATTCTTCGACGGTTATTCTAGAAGTCTAGCGTATGCATGCTCAATCAATCTATCCGCTCTCGCGGTTCATCTTCACCCCAGTCGTTTTGTTTAACCGGGCTCGTGGCTCATGTGCGAACTTGTCCTTCGCCGCTGTAAGTCCTTTGACCTGGCTGCATGGCGCCACCTGCTTGCGGGTTGCGGAGTTTCTCCAGACTAATCCACAAATCAACCGGCTTGGACCTCGGGATCATCGGGGTCTGGTCCTACTTCTGGGGTAGACGTTCTGGGCGCCGCTGGCCATTGCCTAAGCGAAATGCACATCCGGGGTAGACAGGCACGTGAGATGCAGGTCCCACTCATGTCGACAACGCAGGTGCAGATACGGCTGCGTTAATGGAGACTGGCCGGTTAATGTCAAGTAATCCTCAGCCTCAAGCGCTCACTCCATCCATCCGAGGGTCTGATGCACTTGTCGGCGGCGGTGGTGATGATGGTGGAAGAGATGGAAGAAATGAGGGGAAGATGCCTGGTTGCTGGGTTTGGCCGCTCAGGGTCCGCGCTCACGGTTGATTGACGACCCACAACACCGTAAACTGCGATCAACATGCACATCAATATATCGCGCATTCAATCTACGTCAATCCAACATTTTGTTTATTATTATCCTCCTTCTCTCACATCGGATCAATCATTGCATTCTCTGTCCCCCAACCTTACACTCCAGTCCTCCGGCAGATCTCATTAAACTCGATGACGACAGGAGAAGCCGTGGAGATTTAGCCCACCCGTAAAGCCACGAACCACCTGGGCATCGTTTCCTTTTTTAGCGCGAATGTTTACTTGTGCGTGTCCCGCCCCAATGACCAAGATCGCACTTTAGCCATTTTAACCGGCGCCGCATCAACTTCCTCAGAGCGCATACTGGGCGTCTCTTCAGTGAAATGACACCGATGACATTGAGTTTACCTCAGTCAAGGGAACTTGGTCGAGAGCCAGGTGCGGAAGAGTCCGTAGAAGTGGCAACCGGAGTAATGGGGCCGAAGTCGGTGCCATGACTCGACGCGCGTCGCCCCGTGACAATGCGGGCAGAACGCTCATCAACACCATCTATCTCACCAGCTCTCACTTCGTTCATACACGGTTTCCAGATAAGCATACCGCATTCTACGAGATCTAAAGAGCCTACGGTCGACGAGCTTTTCTGCCGGGATTAATACAGCTGGTGTCTTCTTCCAAACCTTCAATGCCCATTACGCCTTCTCGGATACCCGTTGTGAGAAGTGTCGGAATCCTCTGCGATTATAAGACGTCTGCTTTATGATCTGGACCACATCGCTGTTCACTTCTACAAGGCATCAAAGATCCGGACACGACATTGATGTCAAGTTCCAAGTATCAGCAGACGTGCTGTAACGCATAAATTGCTGGAGCCGCCCCAGAGACGACAGAAGGAAACAAATTGTTCGTGTTGACGGCTACCGACACGGACATGGATTTATAGCGGACTATACACCAGCCACAGTACCGATGGGTGTTGATGATCCAGGGAAATGGTACTCACGTTTACAGTACTGCTGCACACAGCCGGAGCGACTCGGCAGCGACTGTGAATGGCATGATCGGTCGCGTCGCTTTGTGGATCTTCATGTGGAGCATTTAACTCATGTAACTCCACAGTCGTCCTTCATTTCTACTTGTATCTCGAGTTCGTCACTCCTGGCTAGTCTTCAATCGACGATTTGTCATCAGGCTTCTTGGCCGAGAAGAGACCCTTCGATGTCACGAATTGGTCAGTATCAGTATTGCTACAATGTTTATTGGTCTTTCTCTTTTACGACGAAGAAATGATCTACCGAAACTAGCTACAGCGCAGCCTCAATAAGAACGGCACTGGGCGCTGCAGCCATTTACATTATGTACGCACATCACCCGACACCTCTGCCTTCACGAACCAGTTGTCTGTATCGGCAAAGCACTGAGTCATGCTATCGAAACCCATCTTCGTTTCCATCTCCCCTGATCACCGAAATTCTCCACGCCGAACCGTGTCGGTGGAGGCATTGTGACACTCTCAAGAGTTTCGTCTCATCATGACTCTCCCCCGACTTACAATTTCCGGGCTGCGCATGCGGTCCCATGCCATCGACTTGGTGGACTGAAGATGCAGTTTACAAACAATACACCTGCATTAGACGTGCCGCGAGCAAAGGTCACAAAAGGAGCCGCAATAATACGGAAGGTTCTGGTACATCTTCTGAGTCAGGTACTTGGAGCCTGATCCCGAGCCTTAGTAGATCAAGGCCTGCGTTCTCATTTGGGCTACATGGCCAAATGGAAAGGCCACGACCCTTCGGTGACAAGACTACGTACTGCAGCACGCCGCACCCATGCGACACAACGAGTAGGCCTCCGTTTGCTGATCGGCAACTCCGAGGTGTCACGGGTGAGTTGGAGAATGCGAAAAGGATAGACGTCAAGTCAAGTGTCTTCACATCATGAGAAGATGCCCAAGATGCACTTCAGGATAGTGAGGGCTGAGAGCTGAGGTCGAGTCGCGGTTTATGAGACACATCAGTAATCATATAGGGAGCTGAGCTTGCTAAAATCTTCATCACCTACTCAAGGTCAGGCCTTCATGCGTGATGCGGACTCTCGTAACGCCAAAGGTCGGTGAACATAGGTTGCGAGCCCGTTGAGTATAACGCGACTCGACAGACCTCATCTTATCGGACTGGAAATTATTGCCTTCCAATCACAGTGCGTCGTCAAAAAATGATGCGCGACCACGGTACCCACCTCCGGTCTCATCGAAAATCCATCGAGGCTCGAACACGCAAAGACAGGGAGAGGCGAACTTGGGCATGTACCCCGACTATGAGGTTGGGCACACGATCGACGGAGTTATCAGAGAAGCGAGCGAGATTTGCATACGCGAAACATGTCCCCGAAAGACGCTAGTGAGTCGGTAAGCGCTGATTGGCTCGATGGACGGGACAGCGCGTGGCTGAACAACGTTCCGACGTCAACGGTCCGAATTAACATTTTCCTTCGCCGCAAAAGGCCCGTCCTGTCAGGAGAATTGCGACACGAACAGCAAGATTCCTTGAATCTAAGATGAGGGCGACTCGCGGATGTCAACAAACCAAGGCCTGCGCCTGCACCTACGCTGTGACGTCACCACTCTACGTAGAGCATCGGCGGTCGCCGGGCTACTTTGGAGATGGAGATGAGTGTGTTTGTTGCGTACCGTGGAGTAAGAGAACGAGTTGAAGCTGTGGAGAAGCGCATTTGTCTCGTCGCCCAGGTGCCGACCATTCTGAGACTCTAGGTAGTATGTACCCGAAGTACTCATGACGAACCAATCCAATAGGGTTCTTTTCCTTACCCGAGTTTTCAGGTCTGCAGGTGTCGTCAACGCCCGATCCCCATAGCCTAGGTGCCCATGCCCAAGCTTAGCAGATCATCCCTTGTTAATGCGTCCCTGCAATCCATATCAGGGACAGTCATGGCTGACCCCAAAAATACCCGTGCGAGGCTGACGCTGTCACAAATACACAACACCAGATCTTACATTTTCGGAGGACATCCATCGTTACCAAGGGACGATGGCTTGCGCAAACGGCTCCAAGCCGTTGCTCCTGCCTTGGGCAAACAACACTGTCTCCGCTGACGGCACTGTCCTCACCAGAGGCATTTCTTTCGCTATCGGCACTCCTCCGCAACCCTTTTCCTTAACACCATCGACGCTTTCCGACAATCTCTTCATCAACAATGCAGCCGAGTGCGTGGCAACTACGAACACCAGCTGCATTGGCCAACTCGGTGGCATCTATGATAGTGCAACTTCGACTACGTTCAAAGAGGTAGACTACGCAACATGGACAGGCAGCAGAGAGTCCGTCGATCTGGCATACGCGAGCTCTTACATCTTTTTCGACGATGCCGCCGCGTTTGGTCTGAAACCGGAGGCGAACAAGTTCGCAACCTTTCCCATGTTAACCAATGGATCTACCGATAGTAAGTCCATGAGAAGACTGGGTCGTTACAGCACTGACGCGTGGTAGCAAGCGCAGACGCGCTCATGAAGAACGAGCCAAGCTATCGAGCAACTCTGCCTCTAGGAATGGACTCGAGCTTCTTGAACTACCTCGTGGACGCTGGCCAAGCTTCTTCCCGAACGTATGGACTATGGGCCGGATCAGAATCTGAAGAAGCACCTCAAGATGGCTTGATCGTTGTTGGTGGCTACGACGAAAGCCGTCTCAAAAGTGCAGCCACTACCTTTCCTATGTTTTCCGACTGTCCAACTTGCGCTATCCTTACGGCCATCACGTACGATGTTGGCGGTAAGAGCACCACGCTCTTCGCGGACGCAAAGGACACTCTTGTTGTGCATCTTGACCCTTTCTCATCTGACATTAGACTGCCAGCTGCGATGTTGGACAACCTTGCTGCGGCGGAGACTACTGCCTTTTGGAACGAAACCTCGCGTCACTTCGAGCTTCCTACCGACCCAGCTCCCGCAGGCACCATCACCGTCACGCTGTCGGATATGGGCACCCCCGGCGGCGACGCATCCAAACCCTCTGTCGCAACTTACAAGTCCGTCATTCCAGCGACTGAGCTCTACAGCCGGCCCCGGGCATACAATGCTGCAGGGCTGTACGAAGTGGACAATGCGACAGTCTTCAACATGGCCGTGACGAACCAAACCGGACCTACTACCATGACCATCGGAACCTTGGGCCTACCCTTCTTCACACAAAACTACCTCATTGTCGATCCCGACGCGCAAAACTTCCAGCTCGCACCTGCAGTCGTCACAGCAGCCGACCCCAAAGGCGCTGATGCGAAGGTTAAGCAAGTGTGTCGCGTCTTGCCAGGCGCAAAGGCAAAGACTCAAATCGGCCCTATAGTTGGAGCAGCGATCGGTGGCATCGTCGGTGCACTTCTAATTGTCGCTCTGGTCTGGTGGTTGCGCAGACGCAGGAACAACGCAAACGGTCAACGGCACTCTCGTGGCGAAAGCGACGCACCGACCGCGACATCACAGAACCCAATCGTCCGACGCACGCAAGACCACGTTTCTCTGGACAGCAGCTCCCTCGACCTACCGCGCCAGATGCCTGCTGCACCTCCCTCCGCCATGGTGCTGAGCGACGGTACTACATTCCCATCCCCAATCTCCGGCCGTTCAAAGAGCAAGCTCGGCGGCAAACATGAAGATCCTCGGAGGGGCTTGGTCCACGACAGCTTCAAGAAGGTCGACGAAGAGAACGATGGAAGACTCTTGGACGAGAGACCTATGGGACTGAGCGAGACGATCCATTCACGAGGAACTCTACCGAGGTTGGCAGCGGAGCATACGGTCGAATGATGATAGCGTTCTTGTTATTGCGCATACCCACACCTACACCAGCCTGATTTCCTTTTTGTCCTTACGACATTGTAATACCCCACTGCAGAACAATGAATAGGAATACGGATATCTACAAACACCCTGCCTGTACAATACCTTCGCCGATGAAGCTGGCTTCAACATAATACAAACTACTGCGTCTTGCAAATGAGCTACTGCTGTTGCGCTCCTCTGTGTCAGCCCGAACGGTCTTGCCACTGTGCTGAACTTGCATGAGCCTTCAGCCCTCAGCCCAAGGCCACCTACCTAGGCATGCAAGCTGAGTCTGAGCTTTGACTGTGGCGAGCTGTGGTCAAAATTGGTCTGAGTTACCTCGTAGATGCCCAACATGCACAACAAAAGTAGCTCGCGAAAAGACTTCAGCCTCGCGCGCGAAGCTCAGATATTTGGTGGATGCCGATGATGATGCACGGAAGTCTTTCCGCGACAAGCCTGACCCCTTGGGACACATGCGCTAGGTCAAATCAGCTTAGCGCAGCCCCGCGAATTCCGGAAGAGCCGCCTCCCAACCTCGTGGAAGGCGCAACATGGTTTGCTACACGAGCGTCCAGCCTCGGCTTCCCAGCCATCGAGGATCCGTCTTCAATGAATACTGTGCGTTCAGCCCTGGAGAAATTATCGTCTTCGTGGCATCGTGCCCTCAGATCAACGACGCATTTACAGATCTTGTCAAATTCGGCAGCTCTCTCCAGCAGGTCGCAATGTACCACCAACCCCTACTTTACTCATCACGACTACTCGCGAGGCTTCTACTACGTACGCAGATCTGTACCGCTGGGTGACTACAATAAGAGTACGCAAGAGAAGGGTTCTGGCCTTGCGATGACGTGTGCTGACGGGTTCACGTCGGCAGTGCATTCTAAAAAGAGCACGTTCGAAACTTTCCACGGGCAACTGCAGCATCGAGATATAGTTTCGCCCCCGAAGTCCTCACGCTAGCCCAGCCCCACTGCCTCATGGAAGCGCGTCATTCCGTTTGGTGTTCGTGCACCTACCGTCGGTACGTTCTGGTGAAAGCTGGCATGCCTTGTACAGTGGCTTATGATCGGTGCGGAATCTGACTTTCACCAGGAAGCAAAGATCTAGAGCATGGATCATTAGATCGGAGGCGTAGCTATGGGACTGACGACCTGTGAAATTTGGTCGCATATTCAATGAAGTCGCCAACAGCACGTAGAGCATCAAAGACTGATGAGCTCAAGTGTTGGAACCGAGATGGCTTGTGCCATGCTCTTCGAACAGGCGGCACGTGAATCCAATGAGTACGAGTCCTTCCGCGCTCAACTGCGCGATGGGCGTGATGGAAGATGCGACATAGTCTCGCATGTATCTACAACAGTCCTACCTGTTGAATGATCGTTCGTGTGGCAGGTGACCAGGACTTCGCTCGACCGTCAGCAAAGCGTACCCGCATTCGCATTCAACCTACAATGAATGAATGTGTAGAACCACACGGGTGAAAGTGCTTGTCGCAGCTGCCTCTCGGGCCATGGCTCTCCATGGTGGAGACTCGATGGAGCAATCAATATTCTTCACAGCAACAGCACCCTGAGAGGATAGAAGTACTGCCCACTACAGGATTTGACAACCTACACCGACTGGTTCCAAGCACTCACCCATAGTCATGAGCTCAACTGCTCCCCTGGATGGGTATATCAAGCGTGCCTTAGCAGATCCCACGGCCACCATATTCAGGCCCAGCATTCACATGCCACCGCCATACTTGATCAAGGGGAGGATCAACTACATCTTGACCTTCAGGGGCTGCTTCAATCCGCCTCATCAAGGACACAAGGAAACATTATGCCACGCCTTCTTTCGAGGTGGGGAGGGTATGCACCTGATAGCCGCCATCATCTTCCCTTTGGACGACCACTCCGTAGCCTCAAAGTACAGACGCGGAAAGTCGGGCTCAAAGGACCTAGTTCTTACCCTACAACAACGTATCAACCTCATAAACACTAGTGGTCTCTATGGTGGCTGGCACTGGTGTCACCCACGTGGTGAGCCAGGCTCCGAAGCATTCAAGGACCGACTCATATCAGAGGCCGCAGCAGATGGCTTCAACATACAGTTCATCACTTTAGTTGGACCTGATCACGTCGATTGGAGATATGGGTCCCCCGGATACTGGGGGCCTACTATAGTCGTTGGTACCGGGGACCCTGAACGCACCAGCCTACGCATGGAGACGGAAACGGGACTAGGCAAATTGGCAGCTTATAACGACTGGCGCACAGAAACACTCGAAGAACTGTTCATCCAACAGTTGGGAGCGGGCGGTGACGTGAGGTGGCTGGAGCAGAAGTTATCAATGCTGTTTCCGCGCGCAATGACGAACCTTCCGGGCGACCGTACGTACGATGTATTGCCTTGCACGACCACAGCTAATCTTTATCCAGGTGACGAGCGGCTCCAGATGATCAAGGATCGACTACGCACAGGTATCTGGCGTCTTGGACAGACCCGAATGTGTCACCACTCTACAGGACCATCTACCGAATGGCTGCGTTATGTGCCCACACGCTTCTTCGGTATGACAGGCGGTGTCTGGTTTCTCGGCTACAAAGAGGAACCACTATCATCAACACGACTTCGCCGCGCGCTTGCAGCCTCCAATGATGAAGAACAGCTCAGCAAGTCCATCACGGACGTTGCACTCAGCCCATGGCTGCTAGACCGATATGTAAAGGCGCACACCGCTGATACGACCCCTAAACGCAAACGTCCCGCGGAAGAGGACAAAGGAGCTGAGGCGAAACGCGTAGAGCGAGAAGGACAGCAACGCCAGTTCAAGAGGCTAAAGCAAGACTTTGCTCGAAATGAGAATGCGTATAAAGCAAACCAGAGGGTTGCCTGGCGGGGTCGAGAGAAGAGCGATTTCCGTGATTGGAACCGATTGGAATGGCAGGATCGTAGGGATGTTTACAAAGCAGAGCGCGCCATGACTCAGGACTGGAAGAAGCTGAAAGATCCAATCAGGAAGGAGAATATCTTGTTTGAGTATTTGGAGAAGATGCTTAGAGAGAGTAAAAAGAGTGCGGATGCGCGTGCTAAGGTAGAGGCGTCAAAGCCAGATCATGCCCAGGTGTATAATTATAATCCTTGAAGGAATGCAATATTGAACATCATGTCCCTTACCACATAAATCCACTCTTCATGGCTCAAAGTTTGTGCCACTAGGTGCGATGTTTAGATCCGGCGATCGCAATGATGCGAGAAGTGTAGGAGCTAAAGGCTAACAATGTAAGAATGCTCCTATGGCTACAAGAAGGTTTGGATATCAATGAGTGGACGATGGTGATACCTGCAATATGATAAGCCTCGCAGGATGGAACTCTCGTTGGTATCGCGACAAACGTTGACATACGCAGCGCCGGTCAGATCATGTGGGGCTTGCTTATGTCATCAACGTGGCTTGCTTGTGAGCTGGACGCGTCCGACGCGACACCCCTCTTCATCCTTCCATCTCCGCTTTCACCGTTACCACGTGCCTCCGGCATATGCGCATCAAAATCTCGCGACTTCTGTTCAGATCGAGCGTATCAGCTCTTCGTCATGCATCGGAGTTCACCCAAATCAAGGTCCTCAAGGATATTGCGATGAGCAGCGTCTCCCTGGGTATCCATGTATGCTTTCAACGGGCGATACCTGGATGACAATGCCCCACCTCAACAAAACATGCCGTCATCTCCTTGACCAAGCTCGATGGATTGGCCTTTGCAGAGCTTCTACTTCGTCAGCAGAGGAGGCTCCAGTGACTACTACACTAGCCAGTAGCTAGACGCACCTGCCAAAATACGGGTTCAGCGGCACCCAAACCTCAACACGAAGATCATATCCGGCAGATGACAGCGCGCAACGTGTTCGGTGACCCCAAAAAACCTTCTTCATACGCGCAGGTCCTCCTGGGTGGCTGGATACTCTTGCATGTACCGACAAAGCCCGCGTCGTCCTCCACCGGTCGATTTCACTGTGGCTTAGCTTCCCCGCACTTCCGAAAAGCGCTCTACGAGCCGTCGCATTGGCACCTATCATTGGCATTATCAACAATGTACATACACCTGTAAGCTCCGGCCCGACGCGCTGGGCGTGCTTACATCGGAGTACGTAGATCGACGATGGACCGTGATCTCGCGTTACCCCAGGCTCGGCAATGACGATTCTGCCTTGGCTAGACATAGCCTTCCACTTTACGAGGATGCCCACGCATTCTCACGCGGTGCCACAGATCGCCTTCATTTGTCAAGTCTTGGTGGTACCAAGACTGTGGCAAAGTACATCGCCATGCTCCACGTGCTTTTTCGCCATCTTGTCGTCCTCTGCTCGCGTAAGCAAAGCAGCCTTGATCCTACACCACCCACCGGATCTTATACCACTCTTGCACTGGACCGGGATCCAGGATTCATCATAAACAGCTCCAAGCTTATTTAGAAACTCTGTAAGACATGAAAGGCGAGCATCACCGGTTTTCTCGGAGTCAGCCGGAAATCACGGCGTGGCTGACAGCAAGTCTTGGGTTACTTTGACTTGTTCTTTTCAGCATGAGACGGCTTTTACCAAGGCGCAGAAAGTCTATACCCAAGGTCTTGGCTTCCGCTGCCTTGGTTCAGCTTCCGGTGGCAGTACAATGGACATGATATAAAGAGATGTACTCACTCTCATCACATCCGCTGTACCTTCTGCTCATCTCAGTACCGGATAGCCCGATCGCTCTATTCTGGGCTGATCTTCTCGAACAGTATTGCGACTGTCTGTAGTGATCACACCAGAGAAAAAACAAGAAAAGCTTCAACATGCGGTACCTCACAGCCGCCAAGGCATCTACATATGCCTTGCTTTCGTTTTCGTCTATGGCCTCTGCTTGGCCAACGTACAATTTGCACAACTCTCAATTCGCGAAACGTCAAGGCCCAGGAGATCTTCCTTCTCAGGGAGGTCAAACCGAAGAACCAGTGTTCAACGAAGAGTACGACTTCATCGTCGCAGGTGGTACGTCAACTCCTTGTTCGCCACGGGAGATCATCGGCAAACAGATCATACCCGTGGACCCTGTCCACAAGGTTGGATCATTTCAAAGACTTTACTAACACCAAGCAGGAGGAACAGCTGGTCTTGTCCTGGCTAATCGCCTTACTGAGTCTGGTTACTTCTCCGTGCTAGTTCTCGAAGCCGGGCCCAGTCCGGAACAGGTTCTGGCATACGAATCGCCTGGCGGCAACCAGTTTATCAAAGGCAGCGTTATCGACTGGGGTCTGCTTACCACACCGCAAGAGCATCTGAACAACCGCACCCTTCAGTATCTCCGCGGACGAACTCTCGGTGGCTCGAGCACGACCAACGGTCTTTACTACGCGCGAGGCTCAGCCAGCGTATACGATCATTGGGCCAAATTGGGTAACCCTGGATGGAGCTGGAACGATGTCTACCGTGTCTTCAAGAAGAGTACGAAGTTGAATGCGCCCACCTCGACGGCGGAGCTTTCCGCGTTCAGCCAAGAGTACAAGACGTTCAATGAAGATGCTTATAGCGACGGGCCACTTCAACTTGGCTTTCAGGGATACGTTCCACCGTCTACGGAAGGATTCGTCGTTGCTTGCAGCGAAGCTGCCGACATCCCCATTGTCGAGGATCTCAACCTAGGAAACGGCGAAGGTGTCAAGCATGGAACAACGACGATGGACAGCATGCTGCGAAGGAGCTCCAGCTACGACAGCTTCTATCAGCAAGCTCGCAACCGAACGAACCTCAAGGTGCTACATGACGCTCCTGTCACCGGTATCGTCATGAGCAAGCCATCGTCGACGAACTCCACTAGCAAGCCGCGTGCCATTGGTGTCAGCTACATCAACCAAATCACTGGTTTCGTAAGCCAAGCAAGAGCGCGAAATGAAGTCATCGTCAGCATGGGTGCTTTCCACTCACCGCAGCTCCTCATGGTCTCAGGTATTGGTCCGGCCGACGAGCTCGAGAAGGTTGGCATTACGCCCGTTGTCGTCAACGAGAACGTCGGCCACCATCTCAACGACCACTCAGTCTTCAGTATCATGGCGCGTGCCCAGGATAACGCTTCCACCACGGATATGTCCCGCACGCCCCAGAATCTGCGCGCTGCTCAGGAAGCTTTCTATCAAAACCTCACCGGCCAATACACTGCTCCTTCTGGTGTCACAAACGGCTTCCAAAAGCTCAGTGAGCAGCAACTACGCGATATCGGCGCTCAGGCTGTCATCGACGCTGGTCTGGCGAACCAGACTCACATCGAGTACCTCTTCGAGAGCGTGTGGTACCCATGGATACCAACACCATACTGGGCCCCATTATCAAACGACTCCTACATCTCGGTCACCGCATCAAGCATGGTCCAGCTCTCCCGCGGTACAGTCAGCCTGCGCAGTGCCTCCATGTCCGACAGCCCCCTCATCAACAGCAACTACTATGCCGACCCCACCGACAGCGCCATCGGTATTGCTTCATTCAAGTACCTCCGCGCTATCCTCCGCCACCCGGCCTTGTCGCGCTTCACTATCGGCCCGAATTCTGGTGAAGTCAGCCCAGGTCCGGCTGTCGCTGATGATGACGACGAAGCTATCCTCGAGTATATCAAGGCGAATACCATTCCCAACTGGCATGCTACCGGTACGAACCAGATGCTGCCGCAGGAAGATGGCGGTGTTGTGGATAGTAGGTTGAGGGTGTATGGTGTTGATGGACTGAGAGTTGTTGATTGCAGTATTGTACCGGTACTTCCGGATGCTAATATCTTGGCGAGTATTTATATGGTGGCTGAGAAGGGTAGTGAGATGATTAGGGAAGACTGGGGTGATGCGATGTATTGATGTGCATGGATGTGAGAGAACATAACGAATAGACTGTAAGAGGAAATATGCATTGTTTTCTCCACCAAATGCTTCCCCTATGCGCATACCTCGTCAGCTGCGGTATTGGTTTCCATGTGTGCACCCTTTTATCCACGGCCGAAGAGCCACTCCAATCCTCCGACGACCATACGTTCAGGTCGCTCGAATGAAAACTTTCGCCAACTCAAACTCTCGTAGCCATCCGATCGAGCGCGTAGCCATTCAATCCAGCGTACAGTAAGCTACCACGCGCTCCAGAGATACTAACAACTCTCTCACATACTACGTGCCCATATCACGATTGCCTCCGCCTCTTTGCGGACGACAGGGTCGTTCGGTACAAGTGACATAGCTCCCCCTATGAGTCCCAGAGCAATGACAGCCTGCGATCTCTCGTTCCAAATCCGAATACACAAAGCATGACGGTACATGATCTTCGCCTTGAGCACTGGAGGGCATACCCATGTATACCCCTCTTTCCAATATCCCGGCTCATCACACTTAGCAGATGCGGAAAGGCCGACCAGGGCGAGATTCCTGTGGACTTCTCCAGCTTTCGGTGGCATGGCAACGTTCGTCGGGTCGAGGCCCCAGATCATGATCATGGCCAGTGCTGAATTGAGTCCAAGTGAGCACTGCAGCGCAGCAATTTGGTCAATCCAAGGTTCTCCGCCAACCTTGATGAGCTTTTCCCAGGTGATGCCCTCGCGCAAGCGATCGATCTCATGCATGCTGCTTCGCCAAGTGGAGAACGCTTCCATCAGCAGACCCTCACGATAGAATTGGGCACCATAGTCTTTGGTCCCCTTCAAGAACTCGATGACACTGCGTGGATCATTCCATTTCCCCGACATCATCAAGTCTTTTAGTTCCGTTGCCATTTCGGGTGCGACAAGACCATGGATTTCGACGTCTTTGATGCCTCGCATGGTAGCCAGTGGTCGGAGCAAGTCCATCTGAGTAGTCTCAGAAAAGAAGTCCGTCAGATCATCTTGGTACCATGGGCCTTTTTGAGTGAGCATCGGAGCTATAGTTATGACGAAAGTCGCAGTGTTGGCGAGCCCTGGCAGAATGGTTTTCGCCATCTCGAAGCTGTTGCAGAGCTTTTGAAGATAACAGCTCAGAATGGCTAAACTTGTTGGTCGAACGCTACCTACTGGCTGATCGCCGTCTGCGTACCCGTTGAACTTCAGACCCGGGGAAGGTATAGTAATATCGACAAGTTGTCTGCAATCGGGTGTTAGAAGGTGCAGTCAGTGAAACAGGCGGTCGAGTTGGACTTACTCATTGAACTCCGCTGCAAGTTGTCCACTCGCAACAACCGGGATGTTTCTACCAGCGATAACATCGTGGAGAGAGAAGTTACCGGGTGAGGTGATCCGAACGAACCTGTTGGTCTTGACCATGACGTCGTAGGCTTCGCGATGAATCTGACTGTTTACACGAAGAATAGCAGAGTCGTTGCAGTGCTGAGCGGAGACAAGTTCAGGCTCAAAGCTTCCCTTGCTAAGCAGGTTTGGGGGGATTTCCTGGACCGGATCTGGGGCGGGTCCGAACGAGCAGAGCAGCAAAGTATACACTTTGTTTCTGAGCTCTCCGGGAAGGTCCATGAAGCGGAAGGGCGCATCGGTCTCGGCGGTAGCCATATTGGCGTTGACTGTGGAAGCCGTCGTCGCGACAATTGTGTCGGGGTCGAGTGAGGATTTGACGTGAGGAGGACGGGAGGTGAAGGCGGGAGACATTCTGTATTTTGGTTTCCCACGTGCGCTCAAGTTGGCTTAGCGCGTAGTAAACAAACTCGGAGTCCGAGCGTGGCGGTGACGCAGCGGGGACTGCCTAAGCTGCACGGTGAAGGGAGGAAGACATTAAGTGAGTCGATGCTACGTCACCATGTTAACAACGAACCGCATTGCATCAGCCATTGCAGGTGAATGCGGTTACGAAGATTCGAAGCACCGCATGCCCCGGTGCAGGATCGGCAGATGGACTAGACAAAGACGAGAAAATATCACATCAACTTGAAGCGAGAACAGTGACCAAGATTTGAATCCTACATATATGTGTCTACTTCAAGTGGCATACCGCCGTAGACACGATACCACATACGCCAACGCGTCTCACAAGCCAGAGCGGGAACGCGGTCGCAGCTCTAGTAGACAGTATGTACGTTACATGTTGGTCATCATGTCGACTGTAATGTCGCCGCTGTCAGACATATGAATGCGAACTGAAGCCCGATCGGCATCGAAGTCGCAGCCAGAAGCGATCCATCGGAGTATGGTGCCACGTAATTCCAGGAAAGGTGTGTCGTTAGGCGAGCGTTCGAGGGCACATTCGACTATAGTGAGCGCTCCGTCCGCGTTTCCGATACTACCGTGTAGGAGATAGACCAGCGCTTGTCGGTAAAGAAGCTTCGAGTAACGAGCCCATGACGGGCTCCATGTGCGACCTTCCTGCCAAAAACTTGTCTCCATGCATTCGTGAGCGGCAGTAAAGGTACGCGACGACATGCTGCCAAAGGTGGTTCTAAGCCTTCCAACTTTACCATCCTCCATCGCAACGCTGAACATCGCTAGTATAGCATAGGCATGGTTCAGGCAGCATGAGAACCTTAGTTCAATCATCGCATCGACGAATGAATCCCCTCCCAACAAGACGAGGTTGCTCCAGGATGACGACGCGCGGATACGGCCGATCTCTGTCGAACACGCAGACCACACGCTTGATCCTTCCATGCGGGAGCCATCTTGCCACTTCGCATCTGCGTGTTTCTTAAGGCTTTGGAGTTGGTGAAGCAGTTCAGTAGGATCCGACCATTCCTTCTGGCACATGTCCTCCGCCGTCGCAATCGCAAGCCCGGGCGACACGCGACCATGTACACGGACGTTCTTCAAGCCTCGCATGTGGGTCTTGAATGGAGCGAGTAGACTGAGTTGTATCTCTTCCGAGACAAAGGCGTCGAACGAGTCTTTGTAAAGTGAAGTGTGCTCGCCGAGCAGAGGTGCGACATCCACATCGACTATGAGAGTGTTGTTAAGAGTGCATCGATTGATTTTCTCACAGAACGATGGCAGATCTCTGGCGAGGAGCATGACGCTCATGGGCGGCTCATGCGAAGGCGCTGGCATCGACAATGTGACTGAGAGGATGTGGCCTTTGAACTGAGAGATATGCAGATCGTTGTGTGTGATGACCGTTACAACACTCTGCCGGATGATGTCCATGACTGGTATAGGCGGGAATGCGCGGACAAGGACGAAACGGTTCGCCTTCACCATGACGTCGTAGGCTTCAAGATAAACTTGACGACTGGTGAGAAGGATGGCTGTCTCTGCGCGGTGGCCAGCAGATGCAATAGGCACGCCGAGTTTTCTGACTGTCTGCTCGACAGGAGGTCCGAACGAACATAGCAACAGGGTGTAGACTTGATTGCGCAGTTCTCCGGGTAAGTCCATGAAGCGGAAGGGCTGAGTCGAATTGGTTACCATGGCTTTTGCGCACCGCTTGAGACGGCGGGCGTGCTTGCGGAACTTCATGATATCAGTTCCGGCGGAGAAGCGAGGAGAGAACGGAAGAAAGAACGACAGGTAATATCAATTTGGGGTCGTCTGTGGCGGGCTCCCGAGCACGAGCCAAGAGGTCCTAGCTTCCCCAGGCACCAGTATAGCAGATTGTGAAAGGCATTTCAGATCATTTCAGAGACTGCTAAATGCGGAATCAGAGCCGTTGTATCCACCCCAGTATGTTCTCACGCTCTCTCAGAAGTACACCGTCACCCGGCTGTGACACAAGAGCTTTATCGATGAAGCTTAAAGCGCGATTCGCATTCTGTGGGTTTCCTTCCAGCCTCATGAACATTGCGTACCGATAGCGCAGCTTGGCGAACTGCTGAGGCGAAGGTCTGTACTTGTAACCAGGTTTCCAGAAGCCTGGCTTCAACGACCGAGTTGCAGAGTTCAGCGCGCCATCGGCCAATAGCTCGGCGCCAAACGCGTTCTTCTGCATATTGGCGATCTGAATGTGGGCGATGTTGAGCTGCATCAGAAAGTATAGCGCAGCCATTTCCGCAACAAATGCATCACCTCCCTTGCGAACTACATTTGGCCAGGAATTGGACTCACGTGACTGGTCCATATCGTAAACGGCGTCTTGCCAACCAATGACGGCCTCCTCAAATTGGCGGTCTTTGAACTGTTGTGACCCGCGATCTTTCGCGGCCGCAAACTCCGCGAGAACAGCCGCCGGATTGAAACATCTGTCTTGCCCAAGACTTTGACGAACGGTAGCTGCCAGAGCACTGTCGACATGGCCATTGATGTCGACGGCCCCGTATCCAAACAGATTGGCCATGAACGGCATGAACAGTGTTTCCTGCGTCTTCTTGGTAAAGAAACCGTTGAGGTCGGGTGATAGTGTGTTACTTGACGCAAGGTCTAAGACAGGCGCCATGGTGATTGAGATCTTGATCTTTTCGCTGAACCCCGGGTCATGTAAGTCCCCATCGTTTAATGCCTTGCAAAACCGGTCCAGATCGCTGTAAAGGATCATCGCGGTGACAGGTTCACGTAGGCTCTCGGGTTCAACTGGGGAACGAGCGAATCGTGGTAGTTTGAAACCAATGTGCACACCAAGCACGTATCCTTTGAATCTGTCAACAATGTCTCTGTCGATGGCGATCATCCGGACCGCTTGGCCTGCCATAGCAAGGCGCACGGGAAGCCCTCGCGACGATGTGACCTTTACGAAGCGATTGGTTTTGACCATGACACTATAAGCCTCTCGGTATGTTTCTTTGGATACACGCAGTATCGCGGTCTCGACCTGATGTTCTGCAAGCGTCGCGGTGAGGAATGACGAGGGTTGTATCGTTATCGTGGTCGGTGGCGGGCTGAAGCTGCATAGTGCGATGCGAAAGATTTTGTTGCGTATCTAAGGGGCATCAAGGTCAGCACAAAGCAGATTGAGGGGATCTGAAGGGGCCTACCTCTCCGGGGAGGTCGCGGAAGCGGAATGGAGTCGACGACGTTGCACTAGCCATCGTGGGTACGGCAAGTCAGAAAGTTGCCTGGCAAGTTGGAAGAGACGGAGGATCAATGTATTGTCGTTTCGATGATGGCACCAAGATCTGCTTCGACTTGAGTATTGAAACTGGACTTGAAAGCTGGTGTGTCAGTGGGAAGACGCGGGGAAGCTTACACGCTAATTTGAGGTTTCACGCTAAACGCGAAGACATGTGACTTAGCGCGACGAGGTTTGTCAGTCATCTCTCTCTGCAGCTCACGTCGCTCCGCACGACCAAACGTATTGCGGCCTTGATACACTCAATCGCTAGAAGATAGCTCTTCCGGTCTTGCAAAACGATCGATGCCGTTTAGTCCACATTATGCGTAAGTAGACTACCTTCCACGAAAAACATTGTCTTTTTCACGTGCAGCACGTTCCGCATCCTCCCTTACACTGCTGTGCCCCGTTTCATATAGCATCAGCGCGGTAGGTACAGCCTTGAAGGTAGCACGGACAGTCGCCAGGTCCAAGACTTCGTTCTCCCCGCCCAAGTCCCTCTCTGCGCACACGAGCAGTACAGTGTTGTCTTCTGTTGATCTCTCGTCCATGATGGCAAAAATATCCGTGAAAATTTCCGACTCTGTATCCTCGCGAAGCTTCGAGAGTAGTTGATGACATTCCTGGGGCGTCTTTCCAATGAATGGAGAGTTTGGGTCGCTTCCGTCTTGTCCTGGTACTCCTGATGCCTCGTCGTAATAGTCGTCAATGCTGTCCACGAAAACAAATGTCCACAAGTCGACCTCGTCGCGAGTTTCCTTGATGAAACGATCTATAGTCTGCAACCCTCCCTTGAAGTCAGTGCTGAGCCGAGGCTAGGGGGAGGATACACCGCACTGACCTCTTCGGGTAGCCGAGCGGCGCAAACTACAGGGTACATTAAACCCATTTTTGGAAGTTCAGGTGGGTGGGAGATCAGAAAGAACAGGGAACCGCCAAGACGAAAGAATTCAACAAGTTCTCACGGTAGTACAGTGGTATGAACACTCGGCGTGATGGAGAACTTGTGTAAGACAGCATATGGGATTTCAGCAGTATGACGCAAGTGCCCTCTTAGGTTTCTAACGTTTCTTAATAAAGAAACATTCCGCGTGCGGGGCATGCTACGGTATCTCCCCGCTAGCTTCCGGCTATCACGGCCGTTTGCTTTGGCAACAAAGCTCGCAATATCTTCCGCCTATTTACGAAGCTTTGTAGAAGCCTGATTGCATTCTCATTTAGCGCTGATGATGCGTGACGCTACAGACCGCAACACGGCAAGAAGCACATCCTTGCAAGGTTGCATTTCGCTTAACAGGCAGCAGTCTTCATCTACAAGTATCGCGCGTTGTATCTCACACGGTCTTCAGACTCAAAATCCAATCTCAATCTCAACGGCATTCTCGTTGTATTGCAATCGAGTGAAACATGGCCAGCACCTGCCTGCCCCACCTGCCGGACGAGTTGTTCATCCAAGTCCTCCAAAGCGTAGACGACCCATTCGTGCTCTGGGTTACATGCCGTCAAGTATCGCAAGCCTGGAGAAAAGAGGCCGAGCGCGCATTCCGAGCGACCTTTCTTCCCATCCTTCACATCGAGTGGACCCACATTCAATTTGGTCGGATAGAGAAAAATCTCATCGCTACCACAGACGAACATTCCATCGACCCAAAATCTTCAACGCTTTCTCTCCTTCTGCGTCCAGGCCAGCCGCGTCCGGAGGAACGGTCTACCCTGTGGCAAGATACTGCCTCATGTGGGAGGTTGGAGCACGATGCCACGTGGATCAAAGCGTACGGTGACGTAGCTATGTGGACAGCTGGCTATGGCTTTGAAGAACTTGTACAGGCCATCTGGTTTGATGCGCCGGATGGCCGGTATACTTTCGTCGGTAGTGCGGAGACGCGTGCTTTCGACCTTAAGTTTCCTGCACAAGAGCAAGACGGGCGTTTCAGCTGCCGAGTTACATGCGACTGGAAAGCGTTGATGAATGCGCTGTTCATGGAGGAGAGATATGTACGGCGGCACCAGGATCCAGGTACATCTTTTTACGAAATTGCGGAGGAAGGCATACGCGCGAATGTGGTCAAGGCTGAGCATGGTATCATCACCAGGACTACCACACCGGATCCAGATCCGTGGGAAAAGGCTATCGCGTGTGAGAAGGAGCGATACGAAGTGGAACTCAGGAGGCTTTTAGGGACTCATTGCCACCACAACGAGGATTACAAAACCCTCTATGCTGCAGCCTTCCAGCAGAGGTTACGCCTTGCGTTCAGCAGGGAGGGTAAAGACCTTTACAATGATGTCTTTGATCACGGGTGCGACGCCAATACGCCACTGAGTTTCAACCTCGAGAAGACTGGATGTCGGTGGATGATGCAGTGTAGGCTTGATAGACTTTACGCCTTCGCCAAAGGGATTTGGGAGAGGAAATTCGGAAAATTGGCAGGGTCGAGTTACGAAATCGTGGCGGGCCAAGTGTGATGCTTGTTGCAGTTTATTGTAGTCCACCAAATCAACCCAAGACAGATCGTCAGTCTTGTCACACGCTCTATCTCGATATATCGTGTGGCTTGGGGAAGACAAGTCGGCAAGGAGAGTTTCTACCAAGTCGTATAATTGGTTATCTGCAAATTCACGCCATATAGCGGCTAGCCTGTCATCGTGCAAGCGGCTCTTGATGGATGCGTCCAATCGTTCGGGTAACACGCGAAGCAGTTGTCGAGAGGTGTTGTGCAACTCTTCGCATTGCGATAACTTATAATCGCGATCTGGATATCCCGGTACTGCGCTTTGCGTGCCGACATCCAATCACGGTTAGTAGGCCAATACAATAATAGGGAGGCATAAAACTCACAAGCTCTTCTCAGCTCCTTCTCATCAGCGTCTATGAATATGAGCCGGTAGATCTCACGCCATCGCTCCTCTTTCGACTTCCCCGCTGCGCCTTTCTTGGACCGCATCACTTCGAGTGTCGCATGGCTTAGAGTCGAGATCTCTGGGCTTGGCTTTTCCAGAAGCTGGCATGGTTGGATATTGCGCTGATGCATAGCTAGGTCTTGTTTCCCAATTTCGCTTCCCTGGAATGTAGCCCCGCATCGTTCACATGTGTAGTAGAGGTGCACACGTTCCAGATGTTGTTTGAGTCTGTGGATACCGAGGAAGCCTGGCCCGACGCAAGAGTCGTTTTCACAGCGTTGTGGATTGCGTACGTGGAAAGGGCATGCGAGACCGGGGTTGGTGGTATCGCAACGACGGCGTCGGGGCTTTTTGCGGGACGGTGGGTTCGTATCGTTGGTAATGGTGTCTAATTTGGGCGGTATTTGGTGGTCGGCTTCGTTTGCGCGTTTGCGTGATGCTTTGTCTACGCTAGATGTCTTACTTTGAGAGCCGTAGCCGCTGTCGAGGGCTCGTTGTGTCACGGTGGTGAGTGTGGAGGACGTTGAACTCGTCTTCGTTAGGGCCGAGGTTATTGATGACGACGCGCCGCATG